CAAGGTACTTACGATAAGTCTTATGAATCGCCAAGAAGAAAGTATCTTCAAAGCTGCTAGTGGCAAAGTAATTATTCATTCATAAGTGATACCGCAACGCCGATACGTCTATTGGTGGATTAAATCGCAATTTCAACCTTATTCCTTCCTCTGGGTAGGTCGCCATAACGATTGCGATCCAAGCCGAGATTCGAACCTCCATCTGAGGCCCTAGTCGATTGTCCATCATGGCGTTAGCAGGGTGTTGCGGAGTGCAGTGGAGCGGTCAGCGGACGGCGTCTTCGTGTCGTCGTCGTGCACCAGCTATGTTGTTCGCCTGAGTACGTGGGTCGTAAGTCCGCGGATCTCTTCCGCCGAAGCTGTCAAAGCCGCCAGGCTAACAGCAAACTACACATTACATATACACATTTATTTAACTAAGTATACATACATATTTTATAACTTATATGGTGTTGCGAATGTACCTGATGGTGCCATAAAAAATTAAAAAATAAAAATTAAAAAACAAAAATTACTTTTGTAGTATTAGTTATGTAACTAAATGTAAACCTTTTGTTTACTGACACCTGTGTAGTAATTTGTTAAAGTAGCCGATGTTATGTTCGCGCCTTTTTATCTAGAATCTAAGAAAACCTTAAAATTTAATGTTTTAAAATAATTATTACTTACACAGGGGAGATATTAATGTAATATTTATTAATGATTGACTATAATAGTAAAATACACCATAAATAACAACTTCCCATTGCATTTTACGATAATTTCATGGCTAAATGAAGCTATAAACTGATATAGCAAGTACAATACATATTTTATTAAAAATTGTCTCCATAAAAGAAATAAAAAGGCCAATGTCCAATGTATAAAGATATTGTGGTTAAATTTTATTACCTAACATCTTTTTAAGACATCTTTTAGGTTTAAGTAAATTCATGTAAGTACCCACTGTTACCACTAAAACTTATACGAAACAAAATTAATGTACCTACACCTATAAGTAAAACAGCAAACCTATTGGCTCACATTTCGGGAGTTGTTCTATATTAAACGATCGTCAACGCAACGTCGGAAACGGAACACAACCCCCCAAAAAAAAATCAACTGTGTTTAACCACCACTCTTGAATCATAAAAAATGGTCTAGCGATCGACCCGACGAAACTAAACGAAACTCAAGCTGAGCGGACGCACGTCAGAAACTTCTTCAGTCTGGCAGGAGCAGTCGCGGTGGAAGCGTGTTGTTCGTACTCGAGCAACGCCTTTAGCGCTCGCGTATTCGTATCGTAGTAGTAAAGTAACTAATTAATTTTTTTTTAATTCAGATAAAATAAATCTATGTCCATTTTAAGTGCGTTATTAAAGTGCAGTGAAAATAAAATACTGCAATTGCACGGGTAAACATTGCTAGTGACATTTCAAACTTGACTGGAAGATAATGGGTAAGTGTCACACTTTTTAATTTTATAACTTAGTTTAGGAGAATGAATTTTCAATAATTTCAAATGTTAATATTTATATCAGTACAATTTTTAAAAATATCACCAAAAAATACTTAATGTACTTACATGTATTTGTTAAAATAAAATTTTACTTTATCACCAACCATATTTGTAATGAGGTAATTTTAGGCCCAATTCAAAACAATAAAGCAACATTATACATAATATACAGTGTCCTCAAATAGTTTTTAATATGTAAACATGATATTTTTTTTAACAGACTTTATAAGTCATGTCATTATTATCCAATTAATATAAATCTCGATTGTAAATATATGCATGAAATTGACGAGCTAATAAAACATGTTGCTAAAGAAACAATATCGTAATTATAATATCGGGATTATTGTTCTGAGCAAAATCAGATTTTAAGCTCTAATCAGTTGTTTATCGATGGTAACTATTAGCTAACTCCATTTAGGATAGAATCACGACCGTACGTTATCGCCTGGGAAACGGAAGCCTTGATTTATGCTCTATTTTTTATGTAGATCGACCGCTAGCAACTTCACGGTATGTCACTGGAATGATATGAATCTGTGGCCGATAGCTCCGCCTAAATGCAACGAAACGCGACAATCCGACACGCGAAATAGTGTTGTTGGGATAATCGCTTCAAATGAAAAAGTAAATAATGCGCTAGAACCTTAGAGCAACACAAAACATTGATTGTCTTAATTAGCCATTTATACCTAATAATAAAAAAGGTGGTTCTAGTTACCATACCGCAATGTAAATTCTAAGTATAGTATCATTATCCTTATGTTTGTTGTTGACCATAATATCATATTTAATTATCTTATATATATTAATCTATTTTTTTATGGTTTCGTATTACCAAAATACAGTCCTTAGGGAAAAATATTTAACCAAACCGTATCAGTATAACTTTATTATTGGCATAACTTTTTAATAAAAATTATAAGAACTGTATCTGCAAAAACTACAAAAAGCATAATATAATTTATGCTCATTTTGTGTTACTGTAAACTGGGCATGTTAACGGTAAATTTATAACAGCTGACTTCAATTAAATACTGAATACAATCTATATGAATAAACAGACTTTATGTCAATTATGTCTATACCGTAGATATAATAAAATTCGTCAAATTTAATACTCTACGGAATCAATAATCGAACTGGTATAAACATGTCGTGGCCAGCGTTGGTGTGCGAGTCGAACTTTGAAGAACTTATTTAATGGTATTTTGTTTTATATAATTTACCGAAAGCGCTCATTCAACATAACCTATTAAGTCCTGTTAGACTTTATGCAATAATACGAACAGGTATGTACTTATACATTTTAACTTACGGCAAATTTTCCATGAGCAGCGAAGCAGTTATTTCAACTATACTTTTACGTGATGTTATCTAATAAAAGAATTGAGTATTGGCTAGGAATTTAATTTTAATTAAAATTGACCGAGGCGATAACACTAACAGTATAAGAAACTACCTGGATTATGTAGTTATTATTATTTTATAATTTGAAATAATGTTCGACACTGCTGGAAAACAGAAAGGTGTAAATAAGGGCAATCGCTAATGTCATGTAGTGGGCAACACTATCAACATTTTGCATTAAAAAAAATTTAAATAACGAACATTTAAAAATTAAGTATCATTTTTAGACTAATATTAACACCACATTGCACAAAAATTTATTTGCTTACTCCTAACTTTAAGTTTTTGTTACATAAGTTTATTTATCTGTTACTCTTATAATTAATATAAACACTTTCAACTATAGCAATTTAATTTATTAAACTTACATTAACATAATGCACATCCAAATACTGAGTTTAATATAGCAAAGAGAGAAAGCAATGTGGATTCTTAAGAAAGTATCAAAAATATTGTTTCGGCGGTTCGATCTGAATAACTTTTCTCTAAAGTGTAAACATAATTTTACCAATCCTAAAATAACGCTATCTTCCTTTGCAGAAATAGCCTCCCTATAGATAGGATAGGCCGGCTTTTCCGGTCAATAATTAAAAAGGAACATCAACAAATTCCATTTTTAAAAAAGCCGCACGATGACTCTTTCACGCAACGAAAATTCAAAAAAACAAGGAAACGGAAAGAGGAGTTTCACAATCATATATCGTTGCATTCTTCATTGTGTTGAGGCGAATAATTCTGCTATTCGTTCGTTTGCCGCTTGCAAAACGTATGGGTTACTTTCACGGCGCCGTAATAATGCAAAGACTTGGAGATTAGAAACATAATGGTGCGGAGGTGGCCGCGTGGGAACGCTCCCAGACCTCACGTGCCGACCGTTCGGGCGGTTTCACGAAATCTTGCGTTAATACGCCAGATTCAGATAAACCCGACTCTGATGAAGACGTTACCACGTGGAGAAAAATGGACCAATAGATCGGAGTACCGATACGGGGAAATGAAGCCGAAATGCGACGCGTTTCCGGCGACGCCATTAGCCGTGTCGCGGACAAAATGCTATGGCTTCGTTCGAAGATAAATAACCGTCGATATTACGACTCAACAGTACCCATGCTCATCCACTCAATATTTATAAGGCGCCTTTGAATAATACAAGTGAATGAACTACACGAGATATTCAATTATACTCCCATTCATAAATCGGCAGTGATTCTATGCGAGGCGTAGGTGTTGTTCATAAATCACCGGACAATAAATCAGCAACGCGCATGTTTTATTAAATGAACCGAAACTGAGCAAATACGTTTAAATCATAAACCATTACAATTTTTAAATTTAGAATCAATCCTAATATTATTTGCCCTTATTTACAAAGACAATTAAAAATATAACTTTTGAACATCGAACGCGTTGTCCCTTTTTAAATTACCCGTTTGCGTAAGAAACTCATTGAATAGCGCTTTTAAAGCGCTTATTAAAATTTGCGTCGCGTCGCGTAGGCTCGCATGGAGTCGTCGACGGGTGACGGCGAAGCCGGCACAGCGGCCAGTTAGTGGTTCCGGATACGTATCGGACGTGTCGGATGTCGGGGTGAGTCATGGCGCCCACGCCGCTGCGCCCACGGGGGCCCGACGGCGCCCACGGGCCCGCGCGAATCCTCCGACCCGACGATTTGTATAACGAACTTTTCTTAAGCTGCAATATTTTTCTAACAGTGTGCTGAAGGAAATTTAACTAAATAAAGTTCAAAACAAAACAGATTACGGGGGTTCTTATTTATGAATTGGATTTGTTTTGCGTTTTTAACTCTGCTACATAAAATAAATGTATTTTATGATTAATTCCACTCATCTGTACGTCCTAAGTGGTATTTTTATATTGCAAGCGTTATAAAAAGGTGAGCAGGGATAGTGACATCGATATCCGAACTCGGAACCAACAATTTTTGCATAGTGTTCTTTCGTTTGCTGATTTTCTATCAAACGAATGAAAACATTGAAACCTAGCCAAAGCGACAGTTCGTGTAGTTTGTTCCTAAGCTGTTGGGTGGAGGGGGATCTCGGCACTCCGAAGGGTTGCAGGGAATCCGATACGGATGCACCTCGCCCGGACAACGTGTCGCCTGCAAACAGCACTCCAGATCGAGGTGCGCAACCGTTGCCGCGACGGATTTAGCCCGCCGTCTGGTACGCGTCTAGGCTATTTGTATTTGGGTCTTGGCATTGGTCATTCGGCGGTCTGGCGGCCGATCGGGTTGAACGACACCGGAGACAATGCCGTGGTAGCATCTCGCGGCCGCCCACCCGGACCGCGTCTCCTGCTAAGAGGAGAGGGGTCCGATGCTAACACAAGCCTTTCAGCGAAAGTCGCCGCTTCGAATCTAATATTCGCGCGGCTAGTTTTTTTCATATGTGAAATGTTTAGGTGTAAGCAATGCGCCTTGTTTACTTTGACCTTAACTTTAGTAAGGAGCGAGAGAAAATTTTTATGCAATTTAATGCTCTCAATGAAATCACGCTTTCAAGAACTATGAAGAAGGACGGACAAACGGAAAAATAAATTTCGGGGACTATGCAATATTTTCCCTGATGTTTCATATGAGACTAAACACTCCACCCAATAATTAATCGACGCAATCAAGCAATGGAAAAGAAATCCAAATCGAAATAAATTTTGTACGGTCTCATTACCATACCGTTAAATTAAAAAGACATTAAAAAGTATGGCCTATTCACCCACTAGGATTATTCTCTAGAAAATCTTATCATACCTTTAAGATAAAACTGTCAGATATTAACAAACCACATAAAATATTTCGACTGTCGAAGTCGCATCGCTTGTCCAACATGAAGGTCACAAAGTTGACTCTAATTCACGCGACCGTTAAGCACCGGTCCCCGTGGACTCGCTGCTAACCATATATCCCAAGGGCGACGGTGTCCGTCGGGGTCGATAGTTGGCCACGGCCCCCGCTGGAACCGCGCCAGCCGGTCGCGACACATTAATCCACCCTCGCAAAACTATATCGGCAGTGCCTACCTACGCCCGTTACAACTACAACGTCCGAATAGCAACGATCTAACGACGAAACGCAGTGATACTCGCATTAGAACAACATCGACGAAACGCAGCGATTCTACACGCTGAACGTTGCTTATGAAACTCAATGATTCCTTAGTTAAAACAACACTGATGTTTAAAACGCAACGTGATTTTGATGCTGGTCGGCATCTGTTCCCTTTAGAGGACGTAGTTCACTCTCGCACCGCTTGGTCTAGGACCCAGAAACGTCTGATATTAAATGCTAGTTAAGATATACATGGTGTGCGTATAAGCGTTCGATAATTAATAAATAAAGGTACAACATACACAGAATATATAAGTATCATATTTAAAAAAGATTCAGAATAAATAGCCTACATCGGTATTTTTATAAATATCGAAAATGCATAAGCATCGACTTTCGCCATTATGGACATATTTCACTAAAGAAATTTCTTCTTTTGCGAAGATCAACCTTAAAGCTTTTAATTTGGACTAAATTTCATAAAGATAATAATCTTATATCAGTTAAGCTAATTTAAATCTCTGATTACGGCCTTCAGTTATTATTTAATCATTAACTCAGACAATCGTGGACTGAATTCGGGATCGATGACCTGAAACCCTGTCCCGAACGATATTACTTATCCAAAGCATACTTAACAATTGATTTCTCTCACTCTTTATCTTTTGAGTTGCGGTTTCAAATAAATTATATCAGATGTGTCCTCGTCAAACGCAGACTTAAACCAGCATTAATTTCACTTTCTAAAATTAAAGCGAAGCGTCACGAAACCTTTTTCCGTTCAAATTTCAATGTTTCGTGAAGATGCAACTTTCAAATCTGCGAAGGAAAGAAATCAAGACCGATGAATCATTTCGTTCTATAGAAGACAACGGGACAGTTTTGGCATTTCGCATTCGAAATTTTATTTCTCTAAGCTTCATTTAAGTACGTGTACCAACTTAGATTTTATTACATATTAGTTAGATGAATAGTTGGTTGTACGAACGGTGGCTAAATATAGGTTCCAAATATAAATTCGGTTTGCACACCCTCCACACAGCAAAAGGAAAATTCAAAAGTTTTAATATATTTAATCAACTATTAAAATATGTAACTAATAAACTACATGCAAGAGAAGCAACCGCAAACCATGGTTATTCACAGTACTGTTTAGTGAAATTTGTATGTCGCTAAAACTAAATTTATGTCAAAATTAGCAATGCACATGATCAAATACTCCAACACATTTTGATCCATCACTCCTGGTAACATATCTCCAGGAACTCTTTAGAACCGAATCGAAAAATTGTATAGTGATTGAGATTCAAATCGATCAAACGGAATTCAATCCATTCAAATCCGTTTTGTTCTTATTTACTAAAAATGTTTTATTTTTCCTTCAAATAGATGAGCGGGAAACGAACGCGGAGCTATAGATGTGCAGTACACCAGCGAGATCGCGAGGTCAGCTCCGAGAACGACTTCCATCTGCTTCTTGAAGATCCAACCTTATTCGCCAGGTTAATGAATACATATTTCTTCTGTTTCTTCAATTCCAGAGTGTAGAGTATGAAGATTCATACTAAACTTCGACACGAATAGAATAAATAAGAATTATCGATGAAATTATTTTAGGTAATTACATTTTTGCGAAGGCTTGGGATGTGTGTCTTGTATTTTCCGCCTTGTTGGTGATTGAGAGACAATGGTGTCTAAGAATAAATACCGTATGATAGATTAATAAATATTAAATGGCAATTGTTGATAAAGATAATTATACTAAATGAAAATTACATATTCATTTCAAATTTCGAAACCCCTTATTATTTTCTATAAATAAATATTAAACGTTTATAAACATTCCCATTAAAATATTAAAAATATGCCCCTAGAAATATTATTACATACAGATAAAATAGTGTCCACTGTACCATCGCAACAAAGAGTATTTAACAAGAAATAACATCTATCGGGTAAGCCATGACTTATTACGTCATTTTATAAATCATCCGTAATGTATTGAAAAATTCTAGTGTTGTGAAACTAAAATGTGACTCCAATTTTACATTAGAATTAAAACTAGGACAAAATCTAGAAGTGTTTCATTGCGTCAATTCCGTGTTTGGTATCGATTTGATACTGAACACATACATTTTTTAGGTTCGGTTGTCGTGACACCATGACATATGTTGTGATTTCTGGCGATGGAGCGATTTAGAAATTAGTTCAGCCCGAGCCAAGTGTACCGCGAAAGTGAGTCGATTGAGTGCCGACTGTAACGAGCGCTGTAAAATGCTATGTAACCACATATGCAACGTCGTTTAATTAACTGTAGCTGTACAGGAAATATTATTCTTAAGTACCTATTCAATCGCAATTAGAAAGGGAAATGTCAGAGGTCTCCAGCTTTTCCCCCTCAAGTTCTTTTAAATGTTTCAATTTAACCGCCAATGTTTTGTCTTGAGGCGCTAATCGAATCCAAATTAAATTAATGAGCAAAATATATTTACAACATTAAATACGAACTTATGTAATTAAGTTTTCTGAAAAAACTAGTCGCAAAATGCACATATTTCCTCGCTGAATAGTTATGCTTAATTTATAAGCGGGAAAAGAACCAGCTCTCTTGCCACTATCCGCAAGTCAAGGGCCTGAACCTTACCCCGTGGCACAAGGCTTCAACAGCAAATAGCATAAATACATAAGATCAACAATTAAAGTAAAGAACTTTCAGCTATATCTCCGAATAATTGCGACAGACAAGAAAATATTTGACTTTATAACAATGTTTTCAATGAAAGGTACTAGCTACACTAAGGTGAATCGGAACTAGTGACCCGCCCCGGCTTCGCACTGGTGCAATGTATTTTACATATAAACCTTCCTCTTGAATCACTACCTGGTATCTAATAAAGAAACCGCATCAAAATCCGTTGCGTAGTTTAAAATATCTAATCATACATAGGTACAGACAGACAGCGGGACGACTTTTATTTTATACTATGTAGTGATGAAGAACGCTGAATTTAGCGTTTCATTATGTTTGGTTTTGTTTTCTCTTTATATGTAATGTACATGAGTCGTATTTCCATTCGTAGGATGGTCCATTTGGTGGCGATGGAGGTCCTCCCGGAGGAGAGGGACCGGAAGTACTACCAGGAGCGGTACACGTGCTGTCCACCGCCACTCTTCATCATCTGCGTAACGCTTTTGGAGGTAAACACTTATCAGGTTATTTATAGCAATAACGCAAAGCTTTTTCTTCCTCTTCAAGCGATGTCGTAGTACGAGAGTTGCCTTTAAGTAGGTTTCACGCACCTTCATTAGTCTCGTGGCAGTCTCAAATACCTTCAGCGCGCATATTGCACACGGCATAAGGAAAACTGCCCTCGCAATCGCGTGCGCCGAAAATTGCCATAAGTGTCTATGTCGAACTCTTTGGTCGCGACGAGCTGGCCACGTCGCATCACTTTCTACGCGCCCAACACCACTCGCTCCAGTTGGCTGGCTCAATTAAAAAGCGTAATCGCGGATTTCACATCGCACCGCGTCGACCAAAAGCGGTTCCGTTCGACGGACCGCGGCGGACGGAACGTTAGCGGGCGTCCCGTTGCGACGGGACCGTTTGCGACGCGAGCAACTGTACGCGCCCAACGGCTTTTCACACTCGCGAAGGTTTCGGTTCACGTTTTAAAATCGAATCCGCGGACCACCAATAGCTCAGTTAGCCACAGATAATTACTGCCAATAGCACAGATAATTATATCTTTTTTTATCTTACCTTTTTTTATTATTTACGTTTTTCAATTGTCTCTGATTTGAAGCGGGCATGTATGTTGCTTATGTAAAACCAGCAATTGTGATATTCCCTGGGGATTACATAACAGTACATCTATCACCCTCATAATCGAAAGAATGTTATTCTGTATTATATATATATATATATATATATATATATATATATATATATATATATATATATATGTATATATGTCTAAGAAAGACGCGAAGACATAAAATATATTTCGATTTTTAACTGAAAGATTAAAAAATTTATTACAGCAAAGTTGAAGAGTTACGTATTAAACTGTTTCACTTCTTGAACGGCATTCCGCCCTCAAGGTTAATAGAAATCGGTATAGGAAAACTACTCTCATCCTTTTTACAATACTGTTTACATATTTAAATTCTCGTTTTTAGGGTAGACACTAGACAGATATTTTGTGCAATCACACTAGATCACTATCTGTTACATCTAGATTACTACATGAAGAAGAAATTTACAAACTGAACACTTTGGACGTTTCTAATTTGTTCCCATTTCTTTTTCTTGATAAGATTCTTTAAATAACCTATATTTTTTTATAGGTTTGTATGTAAGTCCCACTTAAAAAATATTCAAGTGTCATACAACAGACATGATTTTTTTACCGTTTTTATAGATAACTAGCGACCCGCCCCGCCTTGGCACGGGTACAATGAGTTATATACATATAATTTATATATGATTCACGAGGAAGGTTTATATGATATAACTCTATTTAGTAAAAAAAAACCGCATCAAGATCCGTTGCGTAGTTTTAAAGATCTAGCCATACATACCGACAGACAGACAGCGGGACGACTTTGTTTTATACTATGTAATGATCGTACGGCGCGCTTCGTGCGCGAGTACGACTCGCACTTGGCCGGTTTTTTATATGCCTTCGAACATGTCTTTGTTTTCAGCTGGGCGTGTTCGCTTGGTACGCGTGGGGCTCGGGCGGGGTCGCGGCTGCCGCCGGGCCGGTGCCCGTCGACTCGCCGCTCGTGTACCGGCCCGACAGGCGGCGCGAGCTCTGGAGGTTCCTCACCTACAGCGTGGTCCACGCCGGCTGGCTGCACCTCGCCTTCAACCTGCTCGTTCAACTGGCGGTGAGTGGAACACGCTGTGCTTGCAACGCTCCGCTCTAGGTAGTCCTTTATATTCCGACAGGTTGTCTGCTGACTGCGAGCGATCAGCAAAGTAGGATTTCAAGCAATTAGTGCCAACTTTAACGAGAATGCACGTTAAGTTATCTAATGTCTTTTGTGAGAAGCGGGCAAGGAAGTTGGTGTGCCTGATGATAAGCTGTTAAGCATACGGACATTAAAACTGTTGAGTTTCAGCTACGTTGCACGTTTTTAAAAGGATGTAGAACATACTTGATTTTTGAGACCTAGTGAATGAAAATTATATCCCTTAACAAGAAACATTCGATAACCTAAACTCAGATCTGTGCGTCACGTTTATCGCTTGACCCGTATGGAAATCGAACCCCTGACCCTCGACAAGTACAACAACTTAGCAAACTACGCCATCCGTCAAGCTCCTTTAGTCTGAGTCCAGGATCAGGAACGAAGAAAGAAGATTTATTGGCGCATAGGAATCACACTCGGAGCCCTGTAGTGTCGGGCTCATAGAATAGGGCTAAAGTCCCTGTCTGTCGTAAAAGGCGACTGAACCCCTTTCAGTCGCCTTTTACGACAGGAAACGACACGGATTGGCAGCAGCACGAAGTGGTCTCGAGCTGCTGCAAGATGGTGAAGGAATCGGGGAAGGTTTATCCTTCTCCGAGGCGTGCTCACGCGCAGTACCGAGGTCCACCGGTGCGTTCCATATGAGATCCCGTAGTCCCTCCAAACGTAGAGAAGGTGACCACCGAGGGCACCCACATAACCTATATAAGATAACAGGGTATCTTTTGAAGATTTCCCCCGATGCCAAAAAAAATGAGTCACACTCGTATAAGGTGCTGAACCGCTGCTGTGTAAAGAGAATGGAAGTGAAGAATTGAGTTAATCGGGAATCGGTCGAGCCGGGTTCAGAGTATGACGCACGAGGACGTCCAACGATGTAATGTACCGATGGGAGCTCATTAATCAATCGCGAGTGCGAACTGCTCTGAATTTGGTTACGTTCAAACAATCGGAGGACTAGAAATCGAATGAACGTTTAACTGCGATATCTTTACAAATACTAAAACCTGCTTATAATGTAAGATAATACAAAATGCAAATATGCATCATGCAATATCACTTAAGGCGTCGTCTTGGAAATGACTTGTTTATTACTAACGGATGAATACACTATTGATGTTCTGTCGGTATTTTCAAACTGTTCCGTTTCCCCACACATTAGAGGTTATTAAGAAAACTTCCACCGAGCTGATTTGTAAGACATACATGGCACCTGATCTGTCACGCGTGGCCGCTTGATATTCATTTCGCCGTACACTCTGCTATCGGCACCCTTGTACGGCGCGTTTCTCGCCATTGGCGAATCGCGATCTCTCGTTGCCGCGTAGTAGCAGTAAAACGTACGGGAACGTCACGCATAGACCGCCGTTGGACCGTAACGCGTAACATAACGCACTAAACGTACGGAACTCTGCTCCGAGCGGCGACCGACGCGACGGCGCGGAAACGGAAAGTAAAATTCCCAACGCGCCATTCGACACGGGCGGAATGAAATTGAAACTAGCAGCGCCAACAGTTTGAAGTAAGCGAGTTCTGCGTGCGTACCGTAGAGTGCACAAATCGCTTATAGAATCACCAACAATAAACCCACAGAATGGTGTAAGAACGTTGTTCCCAACTGTACTTTCATATTTTGTTGCGTGAGGGAGAAGAGGAGCGATTTGGACTGCTTCAAGTATGACAGCAATACCCTAAGACGTGGATGAAATTAGGGGATGCATTGAGTGTTGCGCACCACCCGCTGTCTATTAACGGTTAACAGTGTACGTCTTGGATCGATGATGCTTTGTGTTTAACTATCCTCCGGATTTAAGTGCTTATTCCTAAGGAGTTTGGCATTAGTCAGGCAGAGCCGATCGTAAAAAAAAAACTAGCCTATCGTACAATAAAATATCAATAACACATGATCTACATATTGCGTCAATCCCACTTAGGTGGGTTAAAGGAAGGAGGAAGAGAAGGGTTCATGCCCACGCTCGTACGTGCTTACTCCTCTCGCGACCTATTCGGTATGCGAGAAAATAACAAAGAAAAGACCGTTAAGTTTTTTAAACATTCTATTACGTTCTAAAAAAATTGTTTTATAAATAAAGCTTCACTCGAGCTTATATAAAAGTATTTAAGCTCGAGTGAAGTTTGAAACTCATTCAAGTCACTGGCGTATTCAGATTTCTCGAAGCGCCATCTGTTGAACGTAATGACGAATGAATCTGTTTGGCTTAACACGCTTGCTAAGTTGTGTCTACAGGGTTGGGCGCTGAGGTCTCTATATTTTTGAGAATTGCTAGTTATTTTTCTGGGTTGGGAGTTTGTCCAAGTAATATTTGTATCCAATAATTACTAATTAATGTTTTTTCAACACGAGTAAATTTTTCGAAATTTCCTTTAGTAAATTGAAATACAAGTGTCTCACCTGAATTTTACAATTACGTTTTTGATATGTTACCCGAACCAGGTAGCATTATATTTACCCGACTGCGTCAGAAGGAGGGTCATGTTTTTCGAGAGCATGTATGTATAATTGTTTGGCACGCTCTGCTGGATTTTAGCCCGAGAGGTGTCATTAGATTCGTGTTTACTGTGAGAGTGACACTGAGTATATCAAAATCATTTCCAAATTACACAGTAATTCACTGTGGTAATTTTTAAAATTTAAAATTTTCGGCCACGCAATAGTTCGCTGTTACACGAATGGGCAGGTCCGTCGGGGTAAGTATCGCGACCTCACAGAAGACCGGCAAGAAGCGGAAGTGTTACACATCTGGTGTTTCGTCTGGTGATCCACGTAGCCAGGGCCCACTTTTAAAAAGGTGACTCCGTGGCGCAGTGGTCAAGGTATTGGCTTAGGCGTCGGGGATCGTGGGTTCGTTTCCCACACGGGACCACCATTTGTGTGACCCACAGATGAGATATGATATAAAAAGAGAAGCTCTTAATTGGGTTTGTCCATCGCAGGTCGGTCTACCGCTGGAGATGGTGCACGGCGCAGTGCGCTGCGGCGCCGTGTACTTGGCGGGCGTGCTAGGCGGCTCTTTAGCGGCTTCGGTGCTCGACCCGGACGTGTGCTTAGCGGGCGCGTCCGGCGGCGTGTACGCACTGCTCGCCGCGCACTTGGCGAACGCGCTGCTCAACTTCCACGCGATGCGGTACGGCGCCGTGCGGCTGGTGGCCGCGCTGGCGGTCGCCTCGTGCGACGTCGGCTTCGCGGTGCACGCGCGCTACACCAAGGTGGGTGGAAAGTTTTTAATGGGTCCCACGTTCCGTCCGTCTTTGTTACATTGACCACGACGCGCATCTTGGGTGCTGGTTTGAGTGTGTTGTGTAAATTTGGCTGAAGTTATGGGTGAATTTGGCGTACTTCGAGTTGGCGCCGGTGCGCAACTTCTGCGAGTATCTCGCTGTCCCTGCTCAAAAATCTGTGCTCGGTGTGTTCAGGAGGCGCCGCCAGTGTCGTACGCGGCGCACGTGGCGGGCGCCCTGGCCGGCCTCACGATCGGCCTGCTGGTGCTGAAGCACGCGCAGCAGCGCCTCTGGGAGCGGCTGCTCTGGTGGGCGGCGCTCGGCGCCTACGCGGCGTGCACGCTCTTCGCGGTGCTGCACAACCTGCTCGCCGCGCCCGCGCCCGACCTCCACTACCTGCCGCCCGACCCGCCCGACGTCGGCTTCTGATCGCGCACCGACGCACTCCCGCCTGCCCACGTCATCGCTTGCGACGCGCGGCCCGCTACGTCACCGCATGCGACGCATGACCTGCTACGTCAGCGCTTGCGACGCGTGACCTGCTACGTCACCGCTTCCGATGTGTGTGACCTGTTACGTCACCGCTTCCGATGCGGGTTCTGTTGCTGCGCCGCGAGTCGCGTGCGCCTAGTTGCCGACGCTTTGCCCCGACAGCCGCACGACATGATTGACCGTCGATGTCGACTATTGGGTTGAGACGTCCGCTTTGCGAAAAAGACCTCGGAACCGCAGCACACAAAGGCTGCCAACCGCGCGGGCTTTGTTTTAATTTATACCCGTATCGGCCACTGTAAAGATTCACGTTGCCCGAGTTCGCTGTTTGATTGGAACAATGTGGATAGTTGATGCTAAAGTTAATCGAAGAGCTTTTGGTGCGAAAAAATCTGCCAATTTGGAATCCTCGCTTGTTACATCGCAACAAATTCTACAGTTCAGGAACTCACTCATTATGAGTGTCAATTCCACACGTGCACATAGAGAATGAGCGCATAAAGATGGCAACGCGGCATCAATACATGCAGTGTGGCTAACAAAGCGGGCTTCGATATTCTGTTCAACTCAGCCTCGTGCGTCGTCAATTCAATGTGGTCCCAATTTTGAAGTTGTTTCGAATGATATTCGCAATCATAAAATAAAAACGAGTCGCTCCGTACAAATATTGGAAAGAACATCTATATTATAGATTCTTATTTCTATTTCGCGACCCAAAAACTTGAATATCCCGTTGCGAAAATCATTCGGAGCCATTTTTCCCAGTCGAAGCCTCATCAGGGAGCTCTCGATTTCAGCGTGACCGACTCACGAACACGCCTAGTCAATTTTACCTTAGTGTGATACGAATAAGTAGTGTTAAAATTAGGGGAGGCCCCGTCATACATACCTCGTGCGAATCTTTTCGAGCGTCGTCTCCGTTAAGAGTCCGTTCCGCCGCCTCCTCGGGATACTTAATCGTTAAGTAGTATTAATTGTATTTTTCTTCGGATAGGCGAACATATTTTTGTACCGAGACAACTGTGCGTCCGTAGTTTTTAGGCTCGGAGGCGTTTGTATCCGTGCGGTCCACGGCCCCGGCCAAATGCGAAGTCGATGTAGCTGTGAGATTAGGGGGGAGAGGGGGGGCGGTTCATCTAAATCACGAAATATCACGGAGGGGGGAGGATATCGCGTATATTTATTGTTATTTTTGCTTTGCCGCCAGGTAACTATATCCCCGCCAGCCAGAAAAGTCTGTCTGGGCAGTTTTATTGCGATTCTTAATTTTCCATAATTAACTATACTACACTTACCTGTTTTTTTAATATAATAATGTAACATTTTTAAGACAATTTGTACTAAACATGTACAAATTATCAGTATTAAAGTATCACCGGCGGACCCCTTACTTCCATTCGCCATTTTTTCTTGTGGTTTTCTTCGACGTCGCAATTGGCCGACGTTATGCCCAGCGCACCAAAGATTAGAAATAAAATAAAAATGTCGTCCATTCTCGAAACAAACGAACACGTCGTCCATCCAAAGTTCGATCCGATCGAATGTATCGTTCTCATTCGATTTTTGCTCATTAATTTATATCTCGTAAGCGCTTCGCCGTTTTTAATTCGAAAGTATTATTATTGATTAAGTAATATTTTGTGCGGAATTGCTCAAGTCACAATGTTCATTAAACTGATGTGAATATTAATGATATCGATTGTTGTGCTCAAAAAGTGAGTTTTTGTTTTGTGGGATCAATTTTTATTGTTTACGTTGTGCCGTTTTTAAACTGAGGTTTTGAATTCGTTCGCATCCCGTAAACACGCGCTCATTTACCTATTAATTTCTTCTTAGGTATTTCAATGATTTAGTGAAATATCCTTTACTACTCATTAGTAAATAGATTTATTATAATGTGCCTGATTCCTATTACTGTAAATTTCATTGTATACTTTAATTATTGTAATCTAATCAAATAATGTCAGGAACCGACTGAATTTTTGTATAAATTATTATTATTACAGAGTGTTTTCATTTAATTTATTTTAAATTTATTTTTAAGTGTGAATCAGAATAATAATAATTATGTGATCATAAAGAAAATAAGAATGATTATGATTAAAAATTATTAAAATTTTAACATGATTTTATTTATTATGAACGACCTGCAGAAAACAGTTGGTAATAAAATTACATAATTTCCATTCAAGTATTATTTTGTTTTATGAATGTGTATTTATTACCATTTGATTATTTGTGGAATGTTTGCAGTTATTGTTTTATCCAGGTTGCACCCAACCATCTCTGTTGATATTGGAAAAATTCCTTTATTTCAATAACCTAGAGATTATCCTTGGAATGAATTTGTGTACTTTTGTGAGGATTTGAAATTTTAATTTTTGTGGCCCACGCCAAAGTTCGCCTTTGCACGAATGGGCAGGTCCGTCCTCCGGGAGAGTACCACGACCACACAGAATACCGGCGTGAAGTAGAAGTGTGATACTTCTGCATTTCGTCTGGTGAGTGAGGTAGCCTGACCCACTAAATTAAAAGGTGGGAACCCATCTGCAGCCCTATGGATGTTGCAAATGTCCATGGGCGGCGTTTATTACTTAACATCAGGTCAAACGCGAGCTAGCTTGCCATCATAAAAAAATGGTATGTTATTTTACTTTGTTGCTAATCTATTTGTTTCTTTGCCAAAACAGACACACAGACCTAATTAATTTGTCATTAAAACAGGATAAAATAAAAAATACTTTTATTTAAAGTTTATTAAAATTCTCAATCCATAACAGTCAATTCTCAATGTCAACAAAATATTTTAGCTTCGACACGCACTACAATAAAATCATATACACTGATGTGAATTTACTAGTGTTCTCTTAATAACGCATCGAAATTAACTCAAATCTACGGGGCGTAATGTAGTCGAGCTTCTATAAAAAATACATATTAAGAAATACTTTAATGTATAATGTACCTGTAATTGACTTCCTGATTACTATTATAATGCAACTCTATTTATAGTTTAGGGAAGTTTTTCAGTTAATTATTTAAATAAATAATTCACTGACCGCAAAACATCCAAGAACAGTATTTGATTTAAAGTTTGCGCATTTTCAAATGTCGAAAATGCGCAAACTTTTCCCATCAATATGCGGCTTTTCGTACAAATTGTTCGTCAGTCCTTAATATTTCGTACAATGCATGTGTCAAAAAACCAAACCTTTCAATCTTTGTTTCGAAACCACTATCATACATAAGTAACTAAACTGTCATTTAGATAAATTGTTAAATAATCACAGCTTATTTTGTACAATGTCAGTGCTTTTTTAGAGCATTAAAAATGTAAAATACGGTTTTGTTTACACAAACCCCTGAATATGTGTGCACCTAAAAATATGTTCTGAATAGGCCCACTGTCGCTTGCACCCACAGTGGCACTTTTCGCTCTTGTAATGGCCCACTGCATTCTGAAGCATACTTGTGTAATTCTTGGCATTCGTTGTGCAATCTTTCCTAGAATAGAAAACACCTAGGTATTTAATCTCTTTTCACTCCTATAGAAAATACTGATTATCTGATCTAATATTTCAGTTACGAAATAAATAATCTTGTACAGTGTGCAAGCATAGCATAGAGTACCCGTTTACAATTTGTTATTACTTATTAAACAGAAAAACAGAGAGCGCTCAAAAATTCATTGCGCGAAGCAAATGAATTTTTGAGATTTTATTCTCCAGATATAAAATAAGTTTTGAAATAATCTGCAAAAAAGCATGATGGTACAAAATCCCCAATATTGACCTTGTTTAGGAAAAATATAGGTGTGCAATTAACTTCAACATGTCGCTTTTTGGACTCGGTGTGCACTCGCATCGTTAAAATTTTACCCATAATTTTTTCCAAACGCTATTTATTCAATACTATAACTTCAAAAACTGAATCTGTAGGGGGTATAATCGCAATTCCATTGTTATCCTTTGACTTTTGTTTGGTTGGACTAACCACTGCGACATTTTTTATATGTCAGGGCGAAAAAGTAATTGTTTAAATATATTTTTTGAAAAACTGCAATATAGTTAATGCAATATAAAAAAAATGCCTAAAAGTTTATGTTAAACAAGAACTAATAAGAAAATTAGTATAAGTTAAGCTCACTTGTAAATCCGGTGATGTTGTAAAAATTGCAGCCTGAGCTTCGAGATCACGACGCACCGATCTCTCGCCGAGATTTGCCGAGCCGACAACTGTCACCCATGGCCTGTCGCTACCAGGAGGATAATACCTACATTGAAACGAAATTTATCATAATCATTTACATATATGTAACGTAAAAATATGTATTTTATCTGACGGTTAAACTAATGTTAGGCGGTTACCACCACCCATGGACATAAACAACAATTTTTTTTCGTTTAAGTTTTCGCTTTGGGGAGTGAACAGAAAAATACAATTAAATTTCACTAATTATAATAATCATTTATTAATATTATTTTCAACCTTAATAACATGTAAATTATCTTATTATGAATGTAGTCCGTGAAGTTTTCTTCATCGTTTTTGCTATGCCCAGGAGTGTTATATATATTTTTAAGTATTTTATGCACAACTTCGATGTATGATGTTTAACAGTTATTTTAATGATTCCAATTATTTACTGAGTACATAATGTAAATGGTGCTAATGTAAGCCAAAGAAATTGAATTTTAGAGGTTATTTAACCATAACTAAATATACAAGGCTTGTCTTTATAATGGTTAAAACTATGAAACACTCAATTTCCTTATATATAAACAAATTAACACTTACCATAAGCCCTTTGCATGAAAAGTCCAATTTTGCCTCTCAAACTCCAGCATTTGTACTCTACTTGTTTGATTAGTATCAACAACTCTTTGCCAGAACCTTTAAAGAAAATGTTATTTTAAATTGAAACATAAAATGTGCATATTTAAAAAAAATATTCAGATTGACATTTTAACATACTTCCTTGCTATTAAGGAGTAAGCATGAGGTATTCTACCGGCGGGACCACCTGCACCCATAAATCCATTAGCCTGAAAATTATTTGATATAATAGCATATTGCTATTTGTAAACAATTTGGCATGGTCACATTATTATGTATATAACATACAATGCATCTATCTACTCACATTTGGATGTGCCATTAACAAGCTTATATTGGCCTTACAAACTTTTAGTAATGTGTTTGCATAGTTTTCTGTTAAATTGAAATAGCCTGTAGCCAATCTGATGTATGAACCCTTAGGAACAGATGCAAGAATGCTGCATGTTGCATACTCATCTTGTGTAATGTTGAATTCACCCATCTGTACCAATGGAAACACCCATGTATCACTTGAAGCTGAAACAATATATCATTCTTATAAGGCGCAAAACTTAAATGTACCTGAACTCTGAGGTTGATCTTAAGTACAATTCCCAATATAAATATGAAAGAAAATGCAAATAAATTCTGTCACATCGCAAAATAAAAGGACCAAGCTGATTTTAACAGATCTACAATAGGTGTGGTCTAATGAAAGAAACTGTGTGATGAGCACAGTATTCCATGTGTGACCTAATCAAAGCCAGGGTTCAGCTTTAAGAGTGTAATTTAGTCTACCTGTCCATGTGACCATGAATTATGATACGAGTTTGGTTAAAAAAACTTAATCAAATAAATTTCCTGCTGAAGCAACAAAAATAGAGTAAGAAATCAACCTTGTTGTTCCAATTTTGACAAAATAGTAACCTCATGGCAAATATTTTGTCAGAAAGTTCTTAGGAAACAATCCACAACCAGAACATGAGCCAAAGTAGGCTGAGGCAGACGAAAACAAGGATCCTGCTTACAACTGACTGCAAGAGCTTATAACAGAATGCACATTAATTTATATATTTCTCCAACACGGGGTCTTCGCAGACACATGTAAACCTAATTTCTAGTTTTACTTCCAAAACCTATGCTTTATCTTATCAGAGAGTTACATTATTTTTTACGAAACTTATATGTAACTATTGATATGCTATTTCGATCATTGTAGTATAAGATTGGCAAGATAGTGTAATGGCCAGATTCAATATTCTATCTACAGATAGATTTGGTTACTGGAGATATAATTTTGATATAAGTATTATGGAATGAATGTCAAATACCTAACACTAGCAACCAAATCTATCTGTAGTTGGAAACTCAAAGCGGCTGTAAGACTTAGTTAAAAGGATAGTTGTATAAACATGTTATAATACCATAAAATCAAAAAGAAAAAAAATCATTACATTTTTATATTACTAAATGTTAATAGTTTACCCTCATTTTGTGAAATCAATTTAGAAATTTGTTTCTTTTTCCACTTTTCAATCAAGCCACCAATGTTTTTATTTAGTTCCTCAGTCATTTTTTCCTTACAATATTGGTTTTGAGAAACATAAGTATTATCTTGCTTACTGAACTTTGTTATTTCATCTGAAATTTAAAAAAAAACATGTATGTTACTTCATATTCCCTAATAAAACAAAACAGTTACATAAGAAAAAAAAGAACTAAAATCAAAAACTTACACAGTCATACCTATTAGTTCACAGTAAAAATTCGCGAGATCAACATCTTGAATTTCAATGTAACGATCCTGCCTATTCTGAAAGTAGTCATTTGAACAATTTGCTCCACTAAGTATTACAGAGTCATCAGCAATGTACAGCTTCATGTGTTGTAGACCAACAATTTCGTTATAACGGGCTGGAAGAGCTTTGGACCAAGAGCCTTGCAACCGTGGTGTCTGATATAATGATAATTTGCATTGGTCAGGAACAGCTTTAGCCAATTCTTGTACAAGACTACGAGAGTTAATTTCGCCCCGTGTTCCACGTTGGTAATCCAACAGAATGTCCAGTTTCAATTTTCTATTAATTATGAGATTTTGCTTAGTTACATCCAGGAGTTTCTTCTCTAAATCTCCTGTCCCAATATACAAACTTGCTATTGACACACGACGACTTGCATTTTTGAATCTCTCACATAAGGTATCATAAAATGTTCTGGGATCCGTTATAACATTGATTTTAGATCCATTAAGGGGAAAGCACGGTGATACATTATAAATCCAATTAAAGCAGTGTAATTCCGTAGACTTAAATCGAAGTGACATATTTCCGATTGATATCTTATGTTTATTTTATATGGAAAATAGCGAACAATTGTCGTTGATATTAAACAGTTTTATTCTTACTGTTCAATAAAGGAAACCTAATTAAATAACCTATTTAATAATTATTTAGTAATTTTTAATTTTTTACTTGTCAGTTGTAAAATTGTCAGTTGTCATATACATTTGACAATTGACATTACAAAATGTGATTTTTTTATTAAAATAGTATACCGGCTTGCGATTTTTCCATACACCCTATTCAGTGTTACATGTTCAAATGCCATATTTAAATTACATAAATATGTTCTATTATTTTTAATTTACTTGCTTTAATACAATAGCATGCAAATAAACATTCTTTTTTTTTTTTCAATTCAATCAAACTAGTCAACTGCTGCACCTATCTCTTCAAGTGCACGTCACAATACCAGCCACGGAATAGAGAAAACAAGTGGAAGTGCTATCTGAGCGTTAACCGACGACCACAGTTAAGCGAAAGTGTCACTAACTGAAGGCAATACCAACGTAACGGCAATAAAAACGTAGTGATTACATTCTCTTTGGGCAATACGAGTTCTGACACGATTGGAGACGTACGCGCTGTCATACACGTCCTCCTGATTATAATGCCGTATTGCCTAATTTATAGTTTTTTTTAAGTAGGAAGGCCTCCCACAAGGTGGACGGACGACCTAGCTAAGATCGCAGGGACGCGTTGGATGCAGGCCGCTAACGACCGGTCGAAGTGGAAGTCAATGGGGGGGCCTATGTTCAGCAGTGGACGTCCTACGGCTGATATGATGATGATTACCTAATATATGACTGCAAAAATAATAGCCGAACAAAAATGTCCTCAAAAGAAAAGGTTTTACATCACAAGCAAATGCTATATTACTATATTTTACAAAATACAACATTTTTACGAAAAATCGAAAATTTTATTTGAACTACACTCAAGAGGCAACCTAATGTTTAAAACATTAAAGTATTAAAAGAGAACCATATTTTTTATTATTTCCCTTAATAAATTCATTAATTCACTACACAAAGAACACAGAGCAAAAAACGTCTGACCTAAAAATTTACCACATTGTAGCTAAAATATCTATAAATTCTATTTAAGTATGAACCCTTACAACTATCTAATAAAACAAACTTTGAGTAAAGAAGTGATAGGCAATTATTGTCTTTAACTCTAAGAGATAAGGACGTTTGTGAGTGCATATTCTGTTCGTGACGTCAAGTGGCAGTACTCAAGCTTTTTTTAAAATCTTATGAATTTTTAAGTATTTTAATTTATTAAATTTTAAGACACTACGCATTCCGTTTAGCTCAGTGGCTAGAGCGTCACGAGCGTAACCCGGAGGATGCAGATTCAAATCCTCCCAGAGGCGAAAAAATTTTCATCTGGTGCACGATGATTATAAATAACACCATCCGTTCAGTTGCAACTCTGAGCCCCATGTAAACTCCCCGATTGACTGCGACACGATCGAAGATCCCTTAGATGGAGGTTCGAACCTCGATTTGAACCGCAATCCATAGTGTAACCTATTCAGAGGAAATTATACGGATAACATTGATATTTCACCGGCGTAATCTTACATGTGCGGTCTGAGCGGGTCGTGAGGTACGGAGAAAATACCGATCTTTGGAGATGTACTACAGAAAGAAAATGCTACAGAAGTTACTGGGTGACAGGTGAAAGGTCATAGTGATTCGGTTGAAGTATGTGTTACAAGAAGGTATAGATTAAAAAAGTTAATACATTTATTATTCTCTATAAGAAATGTTAAAGATGCCTTGCCTTGATGTTAAGATTGCCTGCCTAGAAAAATCAATGGTAAAAAATACTTATAAGCGTGAAAAAAGGTATACTCTTATTCCAGAAAAATGCAAGAATATCATTGAAATTTTAAACTGTGATCTGCAGAAGAAAAAAAATAAATGTATTTGTTTGAAAAAGATTTGATCTCATATTATGCAATATATATTCGATTTCTTCTTCTTCTTCTTCAGCGTGTGTTCGCCCACCGTTGGGCATACGCCTCTCCAATTTTATTCCATTTGGCACGACTCTTTGTTTCCCTTGTCCAGACTGGGCCTGCTGTCTCCTTTATGTCATCGGACCATCGGGCTGGTGGTCTGCCCACACTTCTCCTGCCTAGCCGGGGTCTCCACTCCAGAACGCGCTTGCTCCAACGTTCCTCTTTTCTTCGGCACATGTGTCCGGCCCAAGCCCACTTTAACTTCGCTACTCGGTGGCCCACGTCGACCACTTTCGTGCGACGTCTGATGAGCTCGTTCCGGACTTGGTCCTGTAACGTTATGCCGAGCATGGCTCGCTCCATGTTGCGCTGCGTCACCTTGAGCTTATGGATCAACCCAGCAGTCAGTGTCCATGTCTCGCATCCATATGTCATAGCCGGAAGAACGCATTGATTAAACACTTTTGTTTTAAGTGATTGGGGAATTTTGGACTTAAGCACGCAATTCAGCTTCCCGAAGGCTGCCCATCCCAACATTACCCTTCGTCTCATCTCTGCCATCATCGAGTCCCGACCAAGCCTTATTACCTGTCCTAGGTAAGTGTATTCCTGCACCTGCTCCAGTGGTTGCCCGTTCAATGAAATGGAGTTCAGTGTGAGATCGGCTGTTGCCATAACCTTGGTCTTCTCCATATTCATCTTAAGACCTATTCGCAGGGACGCCTGATATAGTTGCTCCAGCATGTGTTGCAGGTCTTCAGCGTGTTCAGCAATTATGACTATATCATCAGCGTAGCGCAGGTGACTCAGATATTCGCCATTGACATTTATTCCATTGCCACTCCAGTCCAATGTCTTGAATATGTCCTCCAAGGCGTTGGTAAATAGCTTATATATCTGTAGTCTATGTAACATCGATGAAGCGAATCGGTAACTGCCCAGTGTTCTATGGAGTCGAACGCTTTTTCGTAATCGACGTAGGCAAGACAAAGAGGCCTGTTGTATTCTTCGCACTTTTTGATGATCTGTCGAAGTGTAAAGATGTGTTCTATTGTTCCAAAGTCTTTTCTAAATCTTGCCTGTTCCCTGGGTTGATGTTCGTCCAGTTTTTGTGTTAAGCGTGTAGTCACGATTCTGGAGAACACTTTGTACACCTGACTTAAAAGTGATATAGGGCGATAGTTTTTAAGAAGGGTTTTATCCCCTTTTTTATGGAAGAGAACAACGATGCTGTTTGTCCATTCTTTAGGTACTTCTCCAGTAAATAGGACCTCGTTGAATAGCAGACATAACTCCTTTATAACAGCCCTGCCTCCTGCTTTCAGAAGTTCTACAGTAATGCCATCCTCTCCCGGAGCTTTTAACTTCTTGATTTGCTTCAGTGCTTGCCTCACTTCATTTGTATTGATTTCGGGGATGTCATCCGAGTAGTGTCGCATGATATTTTATATTCGATTTATATTTCAATTATTTTCTTATATTTTAATTTGTTTACGTTATAAAACAAAGAAAGAGACTGAAGATAAATTTAACACTGAGACTTCTCGTCTCAGTGTTAAATTAGTTACTCGAGACGGACATAGTTTTAACAAGTCCAGATACGAATGTCATGGGCAGTAAAGTTATCGTTCGTATATACAGCGTGTCGTTACCACCGCGACAATAAATGAACAAACATATAGAGTATAACTTTTTAAAATTGTATTAAACGTTTACATTCTTTAAACATCAATATTTACAGAGTTATTAAATTTTCCAAAACCAACAATTTTAAAACTCCCTTACGTATAAAACTGTAACGTAAAGTTCATTAGTAAAGGTCACAAAGCATATGAATGGGTTGAATGAATTTAAAAGAGACAAAACATACTGTTAGAAGGAAAGGCTTGTAATGCGACGCTGTGGCGCGAGTTGTATAGGATGTTACAAATTTTGTTTCTTTTTTACTTAATTAGTTTGTTTGAAAAATATTTTTTTTAATTATGGATTTTGTTAAACGTTAATATTTTTTTATTACTGGCAAGGCGCGTTAGACGTGTGTTCATTTATTGTCGCGATGGTAACGACACGCTGTATAAATCGATAGTCCACAGTTCAATTTCCCTTTTTAAATTTATTAATTTATAATATGTACTTGTTTTATGTTTTTATTAGTATTTGATATCAAATTTGAAAGGACAAAAAAAATTTAAAAGGTACTTAGTAAAACGTTACATACTCATAAAAATTATGCAAGTCAAAATCTAATTACATTTGTAGAGTGGATTGCAATCGAACGTAATCAAAGAAATAAATTCAATTATTCAAAATAAATTAAAAATAGGCTTTCAAGAATTTGTTGTCTGTCAAGTGAGCCATGATTGGTTTCCTGAAGGAGATTTATTCACACCTAAGATATAGTGACCGGTGAGTTGGTGACAAACACTTGTGGTTCTATATACGTCACAAGTCAATTCGTATCTTTACCAAGTCATCAAACAATTTTGAAAAGTTACCCATTCAATAAAAACATCCAGAATAATTTCTTTTATTGTATTTCACACTTCAGCATATTTCAGAATAATATGAATCATATAATATTTAAAAAAAAATACAAAATTCAACAATCTGTACCCGTTGTATATGGTCAGGCAAGCATGTCTATAAATATGTTATACAATATAAAAAGTTAATGCATACAAAGACATCTGAAAATTAAAGCACTTGGACGATCTTCCCGTTTAAAATTAAGCGTTTGCAAGATTTTCCTCGAGAACTTGATTGTGTTCAATACCATAGAATAATTTTTCACCTTTGATATAAGCCCAAGACATTCTTTTAGACGAAAAATATAGACCAACATCACCGTCCTTGGATAAAGTAATTGCCCCGGCCGTATTTTTCAAACGAGAAGTCATACCTGCAACAAGGGTTTTTATTGTTGACTTATATTTTACCAACGACTTAATTTCGGAACAGGTTTGTAATATAATGTATTTATTATACGCAATGGAATTTAGAATTGTATCAAACTCTTCGACCGTTTTAAAATGATCTTAAATCAAGTTTTATTTTCAAGTTTCAAGTATTAATAGGTTATTAAACAGTATGCAATGCATAATATTGAAAATGAAACATACTAAACTATACTAGAAATATAAGTTAGATTATAATCGCACAAGCGAATTTAAAAAAAAACCATTTTACCAGTAACAGCGTCCTTCGTGGCTGTGGCTGCATCAATTCCCTTCTCCATTAATTTGACGATGCTGTGTGCCAAACAGTATTTCAAGATTGATTCACCGTGACCTACACAAGTAAATAACTTTAAAAATAATACTTGTGAAATTTTCACAGAATTAGCGTTTACATAGTAGAGTGACGTATCGTTGTTTTCCGTTTTTCGAAATTCTCAAGTGCCTGAATCACTCACTGCCGTCAATCGTGCGCAGTGTATATCAGCCAGCGTCAACATCAATCGCGGTCGTAACTCAATACGACGTCAGTGAAATTCTGTAACCATTAGCTGTCTCTTTCTCCTAGGCAAAGACTTAAGGGTATGTGTTATGGCTTACATATAAGTAGACCCTTCATCGCGGGACAAACTACAAAAAGGCGATCCCGCGATCCGGGGGCATTTCGAGGCTTCGCGCTTTCGTTTATTAATAAAATATAATACAATGGCCGCTTCGATTGCGCAATTTATAAATGCATTTGTTATACAAATAACGTATCAGTCGCTCACTTGCTGATGCAAAGAGATCTAGACGCAATATTTGATGATAACATATCTCAATGTATCTGATACACAACTGTTATAATTTACACAACTGTGTACTAAAGAATTACACATCGCCTATCAATATAAATAAATAAAAAAAAAAACAATATATACTGATGTAATTGCAATATAAAGTTGAGCAAATCATATTTCAAAACTGAATGTCAGTATAAGAAGATTTCTTTCCCCTGCATCACATTAAAGGTTAGGATATCAAGCATCCTACTGAATAACAGGTATGTATATTTGTGTTTTTACAAGATGTAATTTCCAAAGACTTTTCTCTCCTTCCTTTTGGCGTACCTATCTATCTATATAAAAAAATTAGAGAAGTTCGCGTATCACAGAAAAACTACTGGGTAACTTTAAATTAATTCTTCTTATTCTCTTTTTTCTAATACAATGTTTTTCTATTACGAATTTTCTAATGGCAGTAATGTAGAGAAAAATATTGTGATATCTTCGGAGAAGCACGAAAGGGCAAGTCCGTTCGGAGGAGTATCACGACCTCACAGATGACCGGCGTGAAGTAGAAGTGTTATACTTCTGCGTTTCACCTGGTGAGTGAGGTTACCGGGGTCTACTTTATTAAAATATAGCAACGCATCTGCAACCCTACAGGTATTGCAAATAGCCATGGGCGGCTGTTATCACTGAACATCAGGTGAACTGCCAGCTCTCTTTCCATCTCCTCACATAAAAAAAGGTTACACGTCAGAGGTTTTACTCGGTGTATGTTCTTACCGAGGAAATCCTCAGTGATCCACTTGGCTCGGCTAAGCCTAACGTGAGATTGCTAATAAACACGCACCTGTGGTGGACACACCGCCGATATTGTCGTCGGCGTAAGTGCCGCTGCCGATTTGGGGCGTGTCCCCAATACGTCCGACGGCCTTGCCACTCATACCCCCCGTGCTGGTGGCTACCGCAATTCGGCCTTCCGCGTCGATCGCTACAGCACCCACAGTACCCACGCCGCCCTGTTAAAACAATAATATCATCTTCGACTCCAGATAACAGGCCATAGTAAGTAACAGACTATACAGGGTGATTTTATAGACTACAGACATACTAAGAGAGCATATGCAAAATTTGATTCTAAATCTGAATCTGGTACTTACTTGTGACCTCATTGTTTTTATCAAAGATTATTTTTAATTTTTTCAAACATTATGGAAACTTATGTTACTACTAGAAAACTATTAGAAATTCCAGCCTTACCGTCTCAATACAATAATGTAATCATGAGCACTAAAACTGTTCGCTGAACACATAATTACTAAATCGTTTATAAATAGGGTGACCACTCGGTATAAACAAACAATGTTTAAATTGATAGTTCTCTAATTATTTCTTGTCAAAATAAAATATTAATATTTTTGAATTATGGAATGCTCAACTAATATTATGTCAAAGTATGTACTTCGTCTAAAAATCACCCTGTATATGTCCAACCGCTGGGTATGGGCCTCCTGTACAGATTAGGGCATAGTACACCACGAGACACCACTGCGAATAAGCGGACTGCACATCACTTCGAAATATTTTCTTGTTTTCTATTTCTAAAATATGCATTTTCTTGGCGATGTTTTCAGGCGATTAGCATAGAATATACGTCTACGTTTTTTCGCTGACTTGCTCTATTTATCCGCGCGGCGCAATTTTTCATCAATTCAAAAATGACATCTTCAACAATTGTACAAATCAGACAATTTACACAAAACAATTATATGACTTAACCTTCCTCATGAATCACTTCGTCCATAGGTGAAAACCACATGAAAATTCGTTCAGAATATTTTCATTTTATTGCATTTGGACTGACAGGCGCAAGTGGTTAGACTTTACTTTATAATTTGTTGTCAGTATCGAAATGCTTACCTCTGCTATGCCAATTTCTGTCCTTCCAAATTCCCCATGCTTCAAAAAATCATTTAAAGCAGCCTTAGCATTGTCACTTATTAAAGACTCTGGTGGTACTGGTTGGAAACCCTGAAGTTTGTAAAATAAATTATAACATTGAAAATAATGTAATTCAGTAACATTACATCATAGTTGATATATTAGACGCAGTTACCATGAAATTGGCCTCAGCCTCACTGTGCAATTGTGATTGTAAAAGAACCTTAATTTAAGAACACAATATACTTGATGTTTACCTTTTCCAGAGCAAATTCTTTGGCACCCTGACCTCCTAATAAAGAGTGGGGTGAATCAGTGAGAACTTTATGAGCAATGCTAATAGGGTGAAGAAAATCTTTAACTAATGTGACTGCCCCAACATCAAGGTCTTTTCCACTCATAATACTTGCTTCCATTTCCACTTCACCTGCTAAGTTTAAAACTGAGCCATACCCTGCAACAAAAGAAATGAATCCACCTGTATTTATCTAACATTAATAAAAAATCGCATTACTAATATATTCACTAATCAGGACTGGCGTTAAATGTTATTGTCATACTTTTACGATTCATATGGTATCTGAGGTCAACGGGGCCCATATTTTTGAGAGGTCACATCTGCTACTCCTTATGATCAAAATGTGCATCACGATCTTTTCAGTCCATACATTTGATATTTGTATGGAGCTTGCTCATTCCGTTTAGTTCCATCCGTCAAAAACAGATGGCGTTGTTTTAAATGCAAAACCATTTTAACTATGGTACCGTAAAATGGGGTGAATAGAAACGTTTTTAAGTTTTCGATAGATTTTTTTTAATGTTTTCTATGTATTTCAAAAATAGCAGTTGTTGCATCTCGTGAGTTAAAGATTATTAAAATGTTTTCAATTAAAGACGAACTTATTTTCCTAGTCATTTATTTAAAAATTAATAATATATGCGTGTTTTCTATTTACCCGTGATATGGGTGAATAGAGTCGAGAACGGGGTGAATAGAAAAAAATGCCAGGGATGTCAAAAATTTTGGAGTACATGAACAGTGGAAGGAAGGATATTATTAATAATTTTAATATTATTAAATTGTTTGTCTAATGATTTATTTAAAAAATATATAACAGCAAACATACTGAGAGCAAATCACCTAAAAAAAAAAGAATAATAATCAAACAAAAAATATAGAAAATAACTTAGAAAAATATAAAACTTTACTTTACTTTTACGGTTTTGACAAAATACAAAAAAATTCTACAGAAAACAAAACCTGCAAGATGAAATTAATGAAATAAATAAAAATTAGAGTTTAGCACGTAAGTAATTATACGATTATTTGAAATATTAGTTTTTTTTCAAATATTATCATCTCGTAAGTCTTTTAGTACATCGTCATCGTTTTTATACTTTTTCGGTCTATCAGTCCTTTTCAAAATTATTATAGGCGCTTTGGGGGATACTTTTTTGTATTTTTTAGAGTCACAAATATTTTTTGTGTGTTTCTAAAAAATTTATATTTTCTATAATCTGTATTTTCTTCTTTCCCATCGGTAAATTATTTGTTACAGTTTCTGCAACTGAAATTTTCTTCTTCATTACTTTTTAATTGACAGTTGGACAATTATCGAATCATTACCCATCCAATAATCTTCCACCGCTTCCTTAAGAACATTTTTGTCATACTTTTTATAGCGCATGCTTCCAGGTTCAGGCTTATAAACTCGCGGCATTATCTGAACAAGCAAAATAAGCATTATTTTTATTTAGGAAAGAAGCAAATAAGCAAATATTTTAACTATAAAAAACATTTTATAAAATTACCGTTAGTACAAAATACCTACATACAAAAATATAGTAGGCATAATCTTGTTTGACAGCCCTAGCGATAACAATTCTAATCACCCCGGACGCATTACTAATCACCCCTCACGCGTTTCTATTTAGCGTTTACGCGCTTCTATTTACCCCATTCTCAAATCTATTCACCCCCCAGGCGTCGTCTTTTCACCCCGAATAAGTTCAATTTATAGGTAACATAACTTTTCGGCACATTTATAAAAGAAATCAGAATTAAATTGGCCTGTCACTTATTTAATAATAAAGTAATTAACACTCTGAATGAATTTGAATTAATTACCAAGTTCGGTTGTAATACTGAACAGCAATAAAAGTATTAAGCAGCTCAAAACGATGACCGTTATGGGTTCACTTTGAGACACTATTTCTCCTATTCAGGAACAACTTCACTACTAATTACTTTTTTGCCATAAAATAACCAATGTTGCTGTATATAAAAAAATACATTTTAGGTAATTTCATTGAACGCTGTGACAGCATTCTTGCAAAGTACAAAGTTTCGTTTTTTTTTCTATTCCCCCCTTGAATTCTATTCACCCCATTTTACGGTACCATTAAATTAAAAACAAAATTTTATTTTAAGTTAAAAAAAGTTAAGTTAAAAATTAAGTTAAGTTTAAGTTTAAAAATTATGTATGGTTCTTATTTTGGAGAAAATTGTATTTTATTAAACAAAAATTATTAATTTTAAAGAAAACAACTAAGCAAAATGCTGGGAGTAATTTTAAACAGTGTAACGGAACGTTAACGACGTAACTGGCGGCCGGTTATTATTCATTTATTTTATTCGGTTATCTTTCAGTATTCATCATTTTATTTTGTTATACGTTACGGCAAACGTTAATATTGTATTTACAGGTAAAGACTGCAACGCAAATTTGCATTCTTTTCCTCACCTGAAAACGGTTGTGACAGATTTAAAACATGGATTCAATTGATTGGAGGAAATTTACTGATTTTGGATAGGCAAAAATAATTTAATTTTAACGTAAATAATTTACTAAACGGCACCGGACTCGAAATCATTCATAACAAAGATTATTAAAAAAAATAGCGAGTGAATATTATAAAAAACGAAATAAAGTTCGCAACACATATTTCTGTATTTTATTTACTTTATCCAAAAATAACATCTAGCAAGCTTTTATCCAATTACAGTTTTCTATACAATGTTATCAAATATAAATTAAATAAATTTCTTATACACTATATAGAAAACTGTAGTTGAATACAGTTCTCAACTGTAAAAACAAAATGGTTATTAGTATAGGTTATATACATCTGAACTTTAGTTCGGTCTCGCATCAAGAGATGGCCTGTCTCACGAGAAGACTGATGACTATATTAATAATGTACTCTTTGATGTGCGTAATAGTAAAGTAAATTTAAGTAGCATGCTATAAATGTCACACGGTTGGGCAAAGGCCTCGGTACAGAGGGTATTAATGCATAGTCCACCATGCGGCGTCACTGCAGATTGCCGGACTTTGCATATCTTGGAAATACATTTATTCTGTTGTTATTTCAAAAATATGCAGCTTTCCTTCACCGCTAAGCATGTAATAAGTTGGCACTCAAAAAGAAAATTTTTATTGTTGCCCGCACCGTCAATCTAAAGCCCAATTTATATTGGTCAAAGGCGGTTGCGCGTATCGAGTACAACAATATCAATTTTGTTGCAGGCAGGTAGTTTGACTGTGTACATTATGGCAAGTGACAAGTCAAGTGCTCTGCAGGGTTAAGCAGGTCGTGCACTTGAACCAAAAAATTGGAAGACATATTAAGAGATTTGGGTCCAGTTGCAAGGCAGCCTTCAAGTCTTGTTGACTTGCTACTGAATGATACACCATACAATACACCACTGTACTTATCTACTTCACTAAAGACTTGACAAAATTTCATATAAATAATTTAGTTTGACATGAGTGTAACTCACATTTTTTCATCAAGATTAAATTACTTATAAAATTCATAAAAAAGTCAAATCAGTCCCACTAACCTGCATTAAAATATTCGTCATTCTCCATAGACACAACTGCAGCTTCCACGGCATCAAGAGCACTGCCATTTTTAGAAAGAACCTTATAACCCTCCCTTACTGCTACTTTTACACCATGCAATTTGCCTTGCACTCTACTTTCAGGTATATCACCTGCACCACCATGTACAATTAAAATTGGCTTCATTGCCTAAAAATACGAAAATTGTAAAAAATAATCACACACCATTAGTTATACAAGTAGTTACTATTAAATCACATTTTAACCATTATATAAAAAAGTAATTTACCAAATAAATGACAAAGTTACTTAACTTTATTAAATTAAATTTTTATTGTATTAAAAACAATAAATTATAGATGACTTACTTCTGCTGATATCAAATAACAACTAAATTATTTGATTATTGTTAGTGCAACATTTCATAAGGGGTTAAGCACTCTTTGTTATCAGATAAGAAGGATAAATTAATTTATTGTTTCAGAAATATTACTATGTTAAGAAATTCATGTTCCCATGAAGTGAACATATGATAGGTTAGTTTCACCTGAAGCAATACAAATGTAGAAAATTTAGTGTTAGATAGAAGTATGTTTTGAAGACTGCAAAATAATAAAACATACTCACATTATTTATTGAAATATAGAATATAAGAAAAATAATGGAGAACCGAAAACAACTATTCATTGGCCTAAATTTAAAAGCAAATACACTGTAGAATATAGGAATAAATTGTATTGAACTAGTCCTTCAACATTGACTGTGTATATTATCTATGTTGATTTGCCATGGATAGGTCAAACAAAATGTAAATCAATTTGCCCAATTTGTTGTTAATGGAATAAAACTTTAAAATATGGATATATCTAATATAGGATAAAATATGAATAAAACTATAAAAACTTTTAAATAACTCAAAATTGTTTTGTTCTTCAAGAGGCAAGATTTTTCATCCTGATTCTATGGAATTTTTTAGTATGGAAGAACAATATAATTTACTAGCTGCTGCCCGCGACTACATGTGTGTATGTGTAGCTTAGGCTGAAGGTGTATAATTCAAACAGAAAGACAGATATATATAAATTATAGCCTTTGTCTTAATCTGATGTATAAGCTATATTATTGTAAAGTTTCATTAAAATTCATTCAGAAGTATTTGTGTGAAAGAGTAACAAACATCCATCCATACATACAAACTTTTGCATTTATAATATTTAATAAGATGAAATGTGCGGGAAGTCGATGGATGCAGGTGGCTCAGGATCGTACTTCGTGGCAGTCTGTGGGGGAGGCCTATGTTCAGCAGTGGACTCAAACAGGCTGAAATGATGATGATGATGAATAAGATGATAAGGTCTTTTTTAGTTTAATTGTCCATTGAACCAAATGACTTGAATGTGTAAACCAAGTAATGTTGCTTGAATTGAAAACATATTATAACAGGTGTTTTACTGTGGTAAGGCCACACAACAGCTTCTGCTGTAGCACAAAAGGGCAGACTTATCCGAGGAATCACCACTGCCTCATAGAAGATAAGTGTGAAACAGTATTATACTTCGCGTTTCGTCTTGTAAGGTAACAGATGTGATGATAACCTAAGAAAAAATGGGTGTCATCGCATCTGTTACCTTACAAGTCTCTGTATCTGCAAGTCCTCAAGTGTAGTAGATGTCGATCATCACATGCTCGCTTGCAAATAAATAAAATTGACATCACTGTATGGTAACTTCCCCACCGCTAATTACATTTACAATAATCTCCAAATTTAACAACTGTAGCAGTACGCAAACTTGGCCACTTGGCATTTACAGTATACACCATTAAAAAGATTCGAATTTTATAAAAAATATTAATTGAAAGTAGCTACTATTTTCTTTTAAAAATTTAATAATTAGAACTCTGCATTAGCAACTGAAATTTATAGGCAACGTTGATTTACTTAAAACTTAATTAATAAAAACTTTACATTTTAATCTTCTCTTAACCAGGCATTTAACTTTTAATTTAAAAATATTTTGCCTTGATGATATGTCAAAATATGTCAGTCACTGTCAGTGTCAGGCCAGCTAAGTTAGGGTAGGTAAGTCTTCTTCATATTTTTAGCCGATGTATCGATGTAAAATAGGGATGGTCGATGATCATCGATGTTGAATACAAAAACATCAATGTTTTACATCGATGTTGCTATACGAGAAATATCGTAACATTGATGTTAACGGAATCGAACATCGATGAGGACGTACGTTTACTCGTAAGATAGTATTGTACTGTTGTGCATATAAAATTACATGGAATACAACTATAATTTGTAATTTGTTATTGATTGACTTCGAAATATTGAATTCATCTGTTTTCTTTCCGTGCATGCTAAATGATATCGTTCTTTTTTAAAGTTATAAATGAGACAATTAATGTATTGTATATATTGTAAATGTGCCATTTGCTGTTGAAACTGTAGGTCCGTGGGGTCCGCGCACATCATTTTTTTTTTAATTTTATGTCCTAGGCTTAACGCCGCGGCTGATGACAAGAGAGCTGGTTCTTTTTGTTGATTGGTAATCGTGTCCTTTTTAGTTCTCCCTTTCGTTAACAAGGTTTGCACAGATGCAGCGGGGTGGGCCATCGGATCGGGTTGATATACCTACGGCGATTCTCCCGAATCAAAACCACAGGTCTAACAGCAAACTAAAATAACGCAAAAAAGAAAACGTAGTACACTTATCAAAAATCACAAGTTAAAAAAGGAATTAAATTAAATAGCTTTTGACATGGCAACATTATATAGAGCTTGCATTCACATTGCCATGATTGCTTGACAATGTGAAACGAAACTGAATAGAATAGAACGATATTACATTTGCGCTACATATAAAAACATCTCTGATCTCAAAATGAAAATGGTGGTCGTAAACATATGAAGTTTAAATTATGTCAACTATTTCATAACGTCATGGTAATGTATTGGTGAAAAATTGAAACGATGTCCACACCAGTGTCGAACCGTAAATATGGGGCGCAGAAAATTCGACTCACGAGTACGCTATTCCTTTCACAAATTAGTTTCGAGTTGTCGTATTAATATTTTGAATGTATTTCCTCATTAATTTTTTCATTTGGTTTTAGTATTATGCGCAAGAAATTTAGTCCGGAGGGATCTTTTCCGTAAGTTATTTACGCTTTTAAATGTTTTGCAATTGTTATGCTTTTCCGTTGTATTACATCAAAGTTAGCTAATCCTTTAAACTAACTAAATACAGTCCGTTTTTACATCATATTTATAATACGTGTTAATTTTGAATATTATATGAAATTTAAGTCTCTCTTGACTTAACAAATTTATTTTGACGTTATGTTATGACTAGTAGTCTTTTATGAAATTTTGTTTTTTAAATATTTGGGTCTGAAACTTATGTTAAACTTAAAGAATTCTTTGAGCAACATTCCAAGGAAAAAAAATCTTGATAAGATTCTAAATTGATGCTTATTAATAACTTCATAAATATTCAATACAAAATTGATGTTCATTTAATGAGGCACTACAACAAACCAGAAGCGGTCAACGAAAATTAGACATTTATTTTGCTTTGTTAACATTTAAACAATGGGACATAAGTGTATACTTATTTGCTTACCTTATAGGTTTACCAGATCCTTTTGCCAAAATCTCGGTGGATGGCAGTGGTCAGGTATATTCCACTAATGCTGTAAAAGCAACATTAGACCCAAAATGGAACACTCATTATGATCTTTACCTGACTAAAGGAGATGGGATCACAATTAGGTATCAATTCTGTTTTAATCATTTTATGTCTATTAATGCCTTTTGGTTATTACTTGACCAGATTTAGAAAGAGAATCAACTTTATTTAATTATGTTTTTAGTATTTGGAATCAACGAAAAGTGCACAAAAGACAAGGATCTGGATTTCTTGGATGTGTGCGCATTCAACCTTCAACAGTGCACAAATTAAAAGATACAGGATGTAAGTTTTATGATTGATTTTTTAGCAGTTGTATTTAATTTGTATTGAATTTGGCCTGTCTATTTGAGGATTACAAGGTGTCAATGTATGTTTATTAATGATTTGGAATAGGAAGATATGGGATTATCATTTCTCATTTTCTTACATAAAAATACCAATTAATAGAATTCAAATTGTGTAGAACATAGTCTCAAGCTCACGTTTAAATATTTATGTTACTATAAATATATTATTTTATATTATTAATTGAAATAAGATTCATTTTCACCAATTTGAAATACAAAATTTAATAATAAAAAATGTTATTAGTGAAAAATAAATGGATAAAAAGTCAATTAAATATGTTAAAAAATTCTTAAACATAATGATAATTGCAATTTTATAGAGACTTTGATTGAAATTTTTGTTTAGATCAATGTCTGGAGTTATGTGAAGACAGTTTAGGGGAAGCATGTGGTGTCAAGGGTCAAGTGATTGTGTCTCTGTTGTCTCGTGATGGAACTAGAGGTGAGCCGGCTTCGGTAGCTAGCGAGGGCTCCCCCCTAGCAGTTGTGGGACCAGCCGGCGAAGTGCGTGCTCCACGGGACCCTCCGCTTAATGCAAATGCATCCCATCAACCATTGCCACCTCATTGGGGTGAGAGATTCACATCAAGTGGCAGGTGAATATTTGAAGTATTTCTTGTTCTATGAAACATTCTAATAACTTATTGTTGAATAAATTATTAGAATGTTTGATAGTGTAAATTTTATTATATATATTTTTTTTCTATGTGAAAAGTTGCAAAACGAGCAGATGGTTCATCTGATGTTAAGTGAATACCACCGCCCATAGACATCTGCTATACCCGAGGGTTTGCAGATGTCTTCTGTGAGGTCGTGGTACTTACCCGGACGAGCCTGCCCATTCGTGCAACAGCCGAGGCTGCTGCGTGGCTCTACCACCGTATATTTGGTTTAAACTAAAAAATCTTTGGAAATATTCTATTTGGAATACATCAAGTTTTTTTTTATGAGATGCGTTGACAACCTTTTGAAAATTGGGCTCCGGCTACCTCACTCAACAGACGAAACGCGAAAGTAGTGTCATACTTCCACTTTACGCTGGTCTTCTGTGAGGTCGTGGTACTTACCCAGAGATACATTAAAGTATTTAAAGTGCTCCATTTGTGGTCTTAACAATAATCTAAAATAACCATTTTACATGTGTACATTATGTTGTTAAATTAGAACATTAGTTGAATGAACAATTATCAAATGATAGTTTCTTCTCAATATATAAGATAAACCATCAATTACCACGTAATTAACATCAAAGAATGATATTATATTAAATATAATGTTAAAAAATCAATTCTTTAACTGATATAATATTTAATGTTTATCTATGTCCATTATTATTTTAATAGCATTAAAAAATATTGCACACAAAATATTATTTAGCCCAAGAATATTTTATAATATTTTCAGGCCATATTATGTTAATCATGCACTCAAAAAAACACAATGGGACCGGCCAACTGTGGAGGAATTGAGCCCAGCCTCTCCACAGCCCAATTCCCCCTCCCCGCCAATACCCCCCTCCCCCGCCTCTCCAGTCACTCCAATATCACCTGCATCCCCATCATCACCATCATCACCTGTATCCGAAACAGATGTTTCACTTGCAACTTCAATTTCTTTAAGGTGAGTCCTTCATAACAAAATCAATGTTACTATTGTTACTGGTGCAAAGATTAAGATATATTTATCAAATATTCTTTTTCACGGAATTTTAACTCTCTTATTTATATTTATATCTTTTTATATTTCGTGTGCTTTAGTGGTGTTTTAATTAACTGTATTTGTTTTTTAATCATTTAAAATTATCACTTTTCAGACCAGAACCACAACCGCAAACTGCGGTCCGTTCCCGTCCAGGTCCAAATCCGGGATCACCTACCAATGCAGCAACACCTTCCCCAACAATACCTATAGCTGCAACGGACCTGCCACCTGGTTATGGTAACATTATTAATCAATGACTAATTCAATATCTACATGTTAATGTAAGGAAAGAGAGGAGATAACTGAGAGACTTTATGTATGTCCATTACTAAAATTGCATGTATTGTATGTATTGATGATATCTGATAACTACAACTTTTACAATTATATTTTTTGTTTCTTTACTATGATAGATGCTTGGCACAATATTCTACAAATGGAGCAATTTTTAACTTGGTTGTTAAAATAATTATACAACACACAGATTTCAGCGGAGATACTTTCGGGGTGCATGGTAGGACTTTCTTCTATCATTTTCCAAACCGAAGGATTCACATTGGCTAGCCTACTGTATCAGTATTTTTCGATTTTTGCATATACAGCGTGTCGTAACCATCGCGACAATAAATTAACACACGTCTAACGCTACTTGCCAATAATCATAAAAAAATGTTAACATTAAACAAAATCTATAATTAAAAAAAATATTTTTCAAACAAAGTAATTAAGTAAAAAAGAAACAAAATTTGTAACATCCTATACAACTCGCGCCACAGCGTCGCATTACAAGCCTCTCCTTCTATGTAACAGTATGTTTTGTCTCTTTTAAATTCATTCAACCCATTCATATGCTTTGTGACCTTTACAAATGAACTTTACGTTACGCTTTTATAGGTAAGGGTGTTGTAAAGTTCTTTATTTTGGAAAATTTAATAACTCTGTAAATATTGATGTTTAAAGAATTTAAATGTTTAATACAACTTTAAAAAGTTATCCCCTATATGTGTGTTCATTTATTGTCGCGATGGTAACGACATGCTGTATACTTTTTATAATGACTGAGTTGTCGATGGACTAATATCGATCCCATAATTGTTTTTTTTATTTAATCTTCATTGTTTCCTTCCAAAACACAAAATGCGAACATAATGCCGTTATTCAATAATAGTACATTCTCTACCAGTCAACTTATGGTGTAGATCTGCTACTAGATAATGTTACCATTAATATATACCATAATGGCAGACTGTATCAAATGTGTGTTTATTTTCAAGCTTAGTTTTACCATAAGCTCTGTGCCTGATCAATTTTGAATAAAAGAATTATTTATGCACCTAAGAACTTACTTCTTAAGCGTAACAAACGAAAAATAACTAAAAATGTTATCCTGTGTGTCTGTACAAAAAGTACTTATAGTTTGTGGAAAAAAGACATTAAATGCAATCAATAAACTTCCAAGTTATAAACTTGGAAATACCTAGTAAACGTCAAAAGTTGTTACTGTTTTCCAAGTAACACAAAGTCACTCGTCATTTACCCCAAACGCGCCAGAAAGAAATGCTTAAAAGTGCAAACATTGATTAAAAAAAAATGTTTGTCACCCCTGCAGAGATGCGGACGACGGCGCAGGGCCAGGTGTACTTCTACAACGGGGCGACGGGCGCGTCGTCGTGGCACGACCCGCGCGTGCCCGCCTCGCTGCGGCACCGCGCCGCCGCCGCGGGCCCGCTGCCGCCCGGCTGGGAGATGCGCCTCGCGCCCTCGGGCCGCCCCTACTTCGTCGACCACAACCGGCGCACCACGCAGTTCACCGACCCCCGCCTGGCGCTCTCCGCGAGACTCGTCAGTAGCCAGTCGCATAATATCTTCCTGCCACCGTAACCATTGGTTTAAACTATTAGGCGATTCATAAAATCGTTTAATAGTTTAAACCATTGTTTCTCAAATTTACGCTGAATCTTGAACTTCAAATAACGAATCTTTAAAAAAGACTCAAGGATATAATAAGACATAATAAAACAACCTACCTTATTGCTTTCTCTACAATTTTCTGTACAATCAAAATGGGCGATGCACCAAAAAAGTTTCAGAAACACTCGTTAATACTATGACGACGACGCCCACACTGCTAGAAAACAATGCCACCGGTTCCCGTTCAATTCCGCCGAATCAGTGCCACGTGAATTTGCTGAATTATCGCCAAAATGACGATCTCAATGGAACCTTCCATGGCACTGATGCAAAGAAGCGATTTCCTTGTTAAATCGTGGCGTAATATGTTTTACTGGTTAAAATTTCCGACAATTTTTTTTGTATAATTAATGGCTTTTGGATGATGATTCAATAATTGATTGTTTGTGAAGGAACATATTTCATTAATAATAAACATTTAAACAAAACAATGCTGTTATGTTCAATGGCTGTATGTATATAAGAACACGGTTTGCCGGTATCATACATTTACGTAGCAAATTTGAACATTTACAGCCAACAACGGAGCCCAGCTCGGCGCCTGCTTCCCCACCACCAGGCAGTAGCCCGTCCCCGGCGGTGACCTCGGCGGTAGCAGCAGACCAAGAGCCTGACGCGCTCCCAAAGTACAAGAGGGACCTCGCCGCCAAGGCTAGAGTACTGCGCGCAGAGTTGCAGGCACTACAACCACAAACTGGCCACTGCAGAATCGAGGTATGCTTGCTAATTTCAACAACTCTATGAACGATGACATACTAAATCGATATTGCCTCTCGGTCTGGCATTTTTAGATTTTTCCAAAGCATCTTCCTTTAGTCTACAAATTAGTTACATTCAAAATCTCATTTGAATACATTCATCAGCATGTGAACAAACTATTTCATCAGATGAGGCAGTTTAAGTTTATTTTTTATGTTAGTCATGCTCAACCAATAAGCTACCAGCTAATTGGTTTCAAATATAAGCTTAACTTCTCAATATTTCCCTTAAATAGTATTAGTAGTAGTAATAACATGGACATATATGTCTGCTATCCACCACTGGGCAAGAGCCTTTGCTTTATAAGGTATTAGAGAATAGTCCAAAACGTGACCCCTTAGGCTCAATAATAATTTGTGTCTGACTACTTTTAAAACAGGTATCACGCAACGAAGTGCTAGAAGAATCTTACCGTCTAGTGATGAAGTTGCGTGGGAAGGAACTCCGAAAGCGGTTGCTGGTGAAATTCCGTGGGGAGGAGGGATTGGACTATGGTGGTGTTGCACGAGAGTGGCTTCATTTATTGGGACGGGAGCTGTTTAACCCGCACTACGGACTATTCCAATATGCCAATGCCGGTGACGATAGATACGCACTACAAATTAATGCAGATTCCGGGGTAAGGCGATAAAATTCTATGGCAGGAGTCTTGACTTTAATGTAAAACTGAATTTCCTCACTCATTGTCATTTTTAGTGCAATCAGCGCTGTGGGGGCAAATTAGTCCAATGAGAGGCAATACCCTCCATATTACATTCTTCTTTGTTTTCTCATATATCATATGCTGATGTGGAATAACGAAAAATATTGTCAATAAAATTTAAAAACATACATACTTAGAAATGTTCCATTTTTATTATAAAATTACTTAAGAAGTGAGAGTTAAATTAGTTCATGCAAAACATTAAGATTATATTTACATAAAATTTTAAACCTTGAGAATCTGGATATGCATGCCTGAACATATTTCTTTTCTGTTAATTTGTAACAGATTATTTTATCATCCCTAAAAGTCTGTCTTATTCATAACAAAACGTTTATCAAAGGTATAAACCTGCATTAGTAAAAACACCTTTGAAGTGCATCAAATGTTTAATAAAAATCTTTATTCATAATTGTTTTATAAACCTGTGATAACTGAAATGTCTTTATAGAACATAATCATAGAAAAATGGTAAAATATGAATAATAGAAGAATGGTTTCATGAGTTTTGAATTATGGATCGCTACAAATAAAAAAAAAGTGCATCTTGATTTTCCTGTTGTTATTTATTACAAGTCTTTGGTGTTAACGTGAATGCTAAAAAGGCAGAGTAGTGAAAATTGGCTAGAGGAAGATAAAGTTGGTGTTACAATTTTGTTATATTTGCAAGCCTAGAACTTCGCAAAGTAATTTTCGTGCATGCATTACCTGCTAAAATTCACTGTTTTTACTTTCCCAAGATAAAAACACCAAATGATTTAAAAGAAGTCATTGGAAACATCAGTAATCAGTTGACCAAAATCGGACATTCTTTTTGCTAATATACATTTATTTTATAGTAGGGTCCTAATTTGTTTACATACAAAGACACTTTATTGGAGGTTAATGAATGTTTTAGGGTTAAAAACGTTTTTGAATGACACTGACAATCTAATTTTAGCGAGCTTTTAAACATCTGATATGGTATCAGATGTTTAAAAGCTCAAAGAAGAAGAAGAACCTCTGATAACTTATTATGAATTAGATCACTAGTTTATAAGAAATAAAAACCAAAATGTGGATTGTGACAATCTAATAAATATTTATTTTATATTTAGGTTAATCCAGAACACCTTTCATACTTTCACTTTGCTGGGCGTATTTTGGGCGTCGCACTGTTTCACGGGCATCAGTTGGATGCGGCTTTCACTGCACCCTTTTATAAGCAGTTGCTAGGCCGACCAATAACTTTGAGAGATATCCGGGACGTAGACCCTGAGTTGCATCGTTCGTTATCTTGGATGCTGTAAGTAACACTTCTTTCCAGTGAAAACAATAAGTTAATTTACTGCTGTGTAAACGACCAACTGTTTTACTTTACGCCATTCTTGTGTGAGGCTGTCCACTTCTCTTGGGATGTATCTGTGTAAATGAATTGTTGCTCGAAATTTCTCTGTGTGATAGACTAGATGTGCATATAGAAGATTTGTAGTGGATAAAAACTTTCCCATATAGCTCAGAGGATTAGTAAGCTGTAGTTCAAAATCAAATTCAAAATATATAATAAATAGAAGTACCGGCAAGAAACTTTGCGGTCTTGTTCTCTTTTTTAATATTTTTTTGTGATACAATTATATCAACTTAATCTGGTATAAAATCAACAGCACCAGAGGCCTTGCAAGTGCAGAGAGCAAGAGTCATTTCCACACATTCTTGTCCTGAATGTATTCTTGGACATTATAATAGGCCCTTGCAATTATATTGCATAGCTTTTCTTACATTATATAGCTTTTATAAATTGTTTGAAATTGTTTTTAAACTTAGTTGGGTGTCACCTATTTTATTATTAAAGTTGACGCATCTAAAGAAGAAAGAGTAGTGTAGGGTCAGGCCAGGGTCAAAGTCGTGGCAATGGGCCAGCCATATAGCTCAAAGAAATGATAACTGATGGGAAAAAAGGTTTTTCCTCGTACTGTCCATCGTAGTGAAGAACAACCACACTAGATAGAGCTAATGATGGCTTGGGATTGTTCTCCGTGGCAGATTGAGGGCGAAGCCTATGTTTAGTAGTGGACTCAAACAGGCTGAAATTAAAATGATGATACATCAAGTTCACTTATGTATGAGTGACAGTAATTTTTGATAAATGGCATGGACAAAACAAAAATTACTTTAAAAACTAGAGAGAGAAATAGATATCATAACTTCATTCTTGGGTTCACATGAATAAAAAACAAGAAGTTATAGTTCTTTAGCTTAACAAAACAATTATAACTTTGAATTATCAATCGAAATTTGTTATTGGCTGTCATGGAGTTGGTGTGGCGCATCTTAAAAATATACTGTCATTGCATTTCCCAAAAGATGTATAACTTTGTAACTAGAATCTTAAAACTCTGAGTATTCGGAAATTCGTTAAACTAATATTACGCCTTATAATATTAAAAAACTGCGATTTCAGGGAGAACAGTATCGCCGGCGTGATAGACACGACCTTCTCCGTCGAGTGCGCCTCATTCGGCGCAGTGCGCAGTGTGGAACTGCGGCCGGGCGGCGCCAACGAACCGGTCACCGACACCAACAAGCGGGACTACGTCCGGCTGTACGTGGCGCACAGATTCACACGCGGGGCCGAGAGGCAATGGCTGGCCTTACAGAGGGGCCTTGCCGACATCATCCCGCCACAGCTGCTCCGCCCGCTGTCGCCTAAGGACCTCCAGCCGCTACTGGCTGGCAGAGCCGACCTAGACCCGGTGGACTGGAGACGGCACACCCGCCTCAAGCACGTGGCACCAGAGGCGCCGATAGTCAACTGGTTCTGGGAGATCGTCGAGGAGTTCGATGCCGAGATGAGGGCCAGGCTGTTGCAATTCGTCACGGGCTCGCGGAGAGTTCCACTCGCTGGATTTCGAGCACTCCAGGGCTCCACGGGTGCGGCTGCTCCGAAACTTTTCACGTTGCATTTAGTCGCTGACGCGTCCCCAGACTCGCTGCCAAAGGCGCACACGTGTTTCAACCGTCTCGATTTACCGCCATATCCGACCAAGGAAAAGATGCACGACAAGCTTAAGCAAGCGGTCCTAGAAACTGCGGGCTTTGCCGTTGAATGATAAATTTACATGTTTATATATTGTTTAGTGTTTCTTTCTGACAGATATTGTATTCAATTACTGTCTACTAGAAGTTATTTGGTCCCAATTTGATGATCAAACAGAGTATCATAGACTGATTGGCCACAGGGAACATGACAAAAATTTGTATTTTTCAACACTCAACCACAATGGAAAACACTCCACATTTCACTGGCAATGTTGGATAAATGGATATCATTATCATAATGTGCATTAACTGTCATCAATTTCATTTACAAGTTTTGTAACCATTATTATAATTAATGTATTAATTTGCAGCTGGTATGTTTTAATAGTATTAAATTGATTTATAGTTTTTGTAACACTAATGGCACTTTATGCTTTTTTGCACTACTAATTTTTTTCTCATATTTAAAATCTGCCATGAACATTAAGTATTACTGCCATGGCTAAATTTTAAGTTAGTTTAATGAACAAATGATATTAATATTCCAATACAGTTTAAATTAGGAATTTCATGTAACTTATTTCATATATATTCATACTTCCGTGGAAAAGATATTATTTACATTTGTATAATGGCCTAATATTGAATTCTCTTTGTATTACAAGATTTTACGTAGGTAAAGGGATATAATTAGGTGTGTCAATAAATGGTCTTGATATTATATTGATACTAAGTTAACATCATTAATTTTTATTATTCTAAACTGTAAATGTGCATTATTGCAATATTCTTCTGCCCAGTACAAAGCACAAATTTATTTAACTTGACAAAGTTAATAAATTTGGATAATTTTAATGATGCAATTGCTCATAAGCTGTAGGTGCCTTATTATTGGAAAACAGGATACTGTTTTGTATATATATATATATGGATATTCCAATAATGTTATTTAATTAATATATTGTAAGGATAAACAATAAGAATTGTGGGTGTATTTATAGTAGTGTATATTACAAATTGACATTAGTAAGACAATTATTATTTATAATATAGGATGAGTGCCTTTTACCTGTTAACGTGTAGTCGAAAAATTAAATTGTATGACTGTTAGTGATATGAAATGATTTATTAGCTAATGATAATGAATTTAATTGTACTGGAAAAATATACCCCGATATTTTTGCACAATATGTAAATATTTGTTTAATTTCATGAAATTCAACAATTGTTGTAGTTAATTCAAGGAAAGCTCAATCGTAATTGCTTCATCGTATCCTATTATTATACAGGTGGCTTATTTAAAGGTGCCCAAATTCACACAGGAGGTCCAGACTCTGTAGTATAATTGTTTATTGAAATAAAAACAATTTTTTTTTCCAAAATTGCAATTCTATTCCCTAAAAAACAACTTGTTGACAATGCGGTAATCATTCATAAATGTGTCGTATACTTTTAAAACGAACTTGCGTGCGTGTTAGTTATGAATGATCGCACATAAAATAAATGAGTTGGCCATAAATCACGCACTTTTTGAGATCAAATCAAATGAATGTAATTAATTACGAGTGATTTTTAATATTTATCATTTTTTATATAACATTATTTATGTCGAGAATTTAATGAAAAAAAAATGGATATACTTGGAAAAGCCTTCCTGTATACAGCATGGCGTTACAACCGCGGCAATAAATGAACACACTTCTTACCCTACTTGCCAATAATCATAAAAAAAATAAAAACGTAAAAACGATCCATAATTGAAACAAAATAATTTTCAAACGAACTATTATAACAAACTAGAAAGAAAACTTGTAACATCCTATACAACTACAACAGAACTTTGCCGATTTAATGTCGAGTTAGGGGCGTCAAGTTGTATATATGAATACAACTTACTTTATACTTTATATTTTTTCATATTGAAATGCCCTTTTATTGGATTATGTAAATTATCAATAAAAGCACATTTTAGTGTGATAAAATAGTAAAGAAAGGGACCACTTCTGTCTTGTTCTTCTTCTTCTTCTTGTATTAACTGATGTTTTTGCTTTCAGTCCCGAGACTATTTAAGCTTCATCTGACGCAGAACCGGTGGGCTAGCCAGAACCCACGGGTTTGGGCCCTCCGCTGTGGGTAGGGCCACGCATGTGCTCATGCGTGCGTTTAACTATGGTGTGTCATCTAAGGGCCATCGAGGTCGTGGTTCGGACCGAAACCCCGATGGCCGTCGACTGTGCAATTAGCTAATCCGTGGCTGGGGGCAGTGAGAACCGCCCCGGAACGCGGGTGTACCTTGTGTACGCGTTGTGTTGGTCTCGCCGTGCTCGGAGGCGAGGGCGAACTAGTGTGTTTGTTGTTGCACTAACTGTGGGTGTAGTGTTGTCCGGCGGGACCCCCGGCAGTGGGTCCGTCGTGTCTAAGTCCCCTTCCTCGACCGGGTCGATTAGGACGTTTCGCGGGCGACGCTTGTTGACGTTCGGGTTTTGGTCGGGTTGGTAATTTGCTGCGCTTACCACCAGAGGGTTGGGATGATTGTCCTGTAGAATCAATTACACCTATAATAAGGTCTCCATAACTAATTTATACTATGTAATGTAAATATAACTTGTATTCTTTACCATCATCAGCAACTATTTATGAGCTATTGTGCTATAATAAGTTCACGAGGAAAGAAATATTTAAGACTTTCTTTATGAAACACTGCAACAAAGTGCAACCTTTGCCCTGGAAGAAACATTAGCTTCTTATGGACTACGAGAGAGTAGCGTTAGTAGGCTCTTGGACGGGTATTGGATGAGTTGTGTTGTGTGCTTATGTCGGACCTCTTTGCATCAACGGTTTTCAAAATTAATTGTCGTCTGCCCAGGATGTACATTTAAACTAAATAGATATAATAAAGTTTGTAATACTATATGACCAAAATAAAAAAAAACATCTTTCATCCGGGCTATTGGTGCTTTATTGGCATTACATGTTTTAAAAAGCCGTTTTTACAGCTTTGCTGAACAAAGGGCTGCCTTACTATTCTCTTAATATTCCTATAACTAAATGGTTAAAATTCTGTTCCGCTCCAGGTCACGACTGCGTTAATAATAAAGTTGCTAAAACTTTTTTGACCCACGTATCTATTTGCTGGTTAGTATTTTCAATGTGCTTTCCTGAATTGGAGCCATGCTCATCAGCATCCCAAAGTCGAAAAAAAAACGCAACGCGGCATATTTTTAAGAGCATTGAAAAGCCCTGTCTTATGGATACGGGTGCTCTCTTTGTCGATGTCTTAAAGGCATTAACAATATCAGTTTGGCACAATGCCAGAGAGACTCATTAAAATTTGAAACATTAAGATTTCTAGAAAAAAGACAAAAAGTTTTTCTCCGCTGTTGGAATCGAACCCATGTCTTATTCGCAATCAGACGCTAAAACCACTAAGCTGAACGAATGATTGCCAATTGCCACACCATCATTAATTAATTTTGTGTCCGATCTACGCAGAAGGTGCTTATTGAAACATTCAATAATCACCTTCTGCGCAGATCTTGGTTCTCGTTGGTCTTGCAGTCAGGACCAGATATAGACCTTTGGTTGCTATATGCTCCTTTGTTGCCCCGGCCTCGGGGCAACAAAGGAGTGGAGGCCCCTTGGCTCCAAATTATTTTATATTGATTTCTGTTAATATTTATTGTAATCATGTTTGTACAAAGTACTGCAGGTAAAAGTAGAACGCGAAAAAAAAAGGTTGTTTTGCTATTGTTTACTAGTCTGAATTTGATTTTTTTTTTTCGAAGTGTCTACTGTGGGGGCCCCTCATCTGTGAAGGCCCAGGGCTGTTGCCCCGGTTGCCCTCCCCTAAATCCAGCCCTGCTTGCAGTAGTGTTTTGTTTGGCTATAAATTAATATATAATGATCCTATTGAATTATTAAAAATTATTTCATGCTTTTACATTTTTTTGTAATATACATTAAAACATATTCATGAGTATACTGCGAGAACGCGAGTTATTTACTTATCAATCGCTTCTAAAAAACCAAAAAGTCATGGTTATGGGAATAGAAAAATGTACATGATAAGTTTTTAAAAATAAATAAAAGTAAATGCTAAAGTAATGTAAAGTAAAAATTATATGACATGTACAAATATAGTAAAGACATTTAAATTCTTATAGAAAATCGATTTTTAAATCGAAAAGAAAAAGAGTAAAGTAGATATTATCTGTAACCAGTAATAAGTCAACCGATTTTTTGTTTTACAACATTGGTCATTGAGGGACACAATCATATTAGTACCACACGAACACGCAAACGTATTTTTTTACTTACCAGTTACGTTAGTCCATCTTTATCGTGTGGAATTTATATCGTTGTGATTAGTCGCCTTTCGTATATTAATTATCGTTGATAATAATATTGCAAAGAAAGTTGACTAGCATAATTGGTACTGTGTATTATTGTGTGAAGTGCTCTATAATTTTATAGTGAAAACAATACTGTTTTGTTTTGGAGCCGTGTAACGATTTGCTACAATGCCGACGAGTGCCGTTTATCAACCTACAACAGTGACTTATGAGCAGCAGCCAAATGATCAGCGGTGGAACTGTCCCATCAGCTACTTTTCACGACGCGTGACAAGTAGTTTGAATCGAGCAGTATGCGTGCGGCTTGGATTATGTTTAATGGGCAGCACACTTTTCATCATTGGTAAGGTTTTATTAGAAAAATAATCAAATTATAGCGGCCTTAATTCATTAGATATTACTAGGTTTATCTTTTCACAATCTAAAATTGCATGTACTTATTGTACAAACCAAAATGTAGATTGTACAATTTTATTCATGTTTTTATAAAAACATTTTATTTTAAAACAACAATAAGAAAATGAGTTCATTCTAGAGAAATATTTCATGTTTTTTGTGGTATAATTTAAGTTAAATATTGTTCTAATAGGAATTTCTTTTGATATCTTATATTATTATTTTTTTCATTCTTTATTTTTATTGTCCAAACAAAAAATATTTTGTCATACAACTATTTTATTTCAAACTAAAATCATACCTTTTTATTAACATGTCTAATAAATGATTGATATCATAGTTAAATCATTTCCTTTTTTTTTTGCTATTCTCTGGTTTCGGTTGACAAGTGACCTCTTATGATTTCTAATTAAAATGTTTTTTCTAATTAAAATTAAATTCTAATGTTCTCTTAAATGGCTGCAATTATGTTTCTTTGTCATTAGACACATTTCATAGTTAGTTTTAAAATAATTAATCACTAAAATGAATATTCCCATTCATTCATTAGGTCACAAATTGATTAAGTAACCCCTAATGATGAAGACTACATAAAAGTTGTTATAGTTATAACTTTCAATTGCATTAAAATTGAAAAAAATATTAAAAATAAATGTATTTTCAAGGTGTAGAACATATTCAGTACTTAATTTATTCATGGCTGCAGCTGTCGGTCTTCAGACTTTCACTTTTGTTATTGAATTTATAAAAAAAATTGTTCATATAAAGTTGAGAAATAATTTCCAAGGTTATATGTAACTGAAATTATTTATACAATTTAAAGATAAAAAAACAAGTTGTATGAAATATTTGAGTTATTGCATTATCACTATCATGATGATATAATTTATTGTTGCATTTACATACCTACTTTAAATTAATTGTACTATATTGGAATTGGTTCTTTTAAAGTGATGGCATAATCAGCATCATTATGTTAATATGCAAGTGTGTAACAGTTTTTAAATGTGAAATTATATAAGTTCTTAATTCAAGGCTTTATTGAACTGTTGGAATGGACTAGGTATAATTATTCAATTTTAAATCAACAATAGCCTGGGTTATTAGGAACAAGATGTCAAACATCTCAGTATCAGTCCTTCCTGTGACTAAATGGTAACAATTTTCCAAAACATTGGGACTTTAAATCTAAAATAAACCATCATTAAATCTGTAAACTTTAAATAAAATAATATAAACTTTTATAAGATTTAAGTTAATATGATAAATTACTTTTCTTTGGGGCACGAAAGATAATTATAATTATGTGATAATAAACAAATAATTTTAAACAAAGCACACTATGTTTATGTTTGTTAATTTGGAACAGATATGTATAGTGATCTTTTAGAACGTCTGTATGTTAAATACACATTTGTTTTTATTTTTACATAAAAAGCTTTTGCATTTTGTTGTTGTTTTGCTCATAGAGTTTTTGTACCCTGCCTCGACTTTGGCACTGCTTAAGTAAGGATAGAGACCGTTCAACTACTGTATACCGTAAACTTACAGTGACGCGATATTTGAAGTCTGTTTCTTTTTTGTTAAGAAAATGTGTGTAATGTATCTGTTTTACTATGATTTATTCAAAATTACTGAATTTTTTGGACCGTTATAATAAATCTTAGAACTTTAAACTAGTAGATTAATTCGATAGATTTTCATGCAACAGATGATCATAGGTTTACCGTAAAGTATTAATTGTTAGTTTCCTCCTAACGAAGAAAAACATTGCCAGTGAAGTTGTACGCGCGAAATAAGATACTTTAATTGTAAATAACTGTAGCAGATCTAGTTGTGGTAGGGCCACGCAACAGTCTTCTCTCTTGCACTAATGGGCATGTTGATCCGGCTAAAGACCACAACCACATAGAAGACCGGCGTGAAGTGGAAGTGTTGTACTTCTGCATTACGTTTAGTGAGTGAGGTAGCCGGGGACTTTATTTAAAGGTGGCAACGCATCTGCAACTGTACGTGTGTTACAAATGTGAATAGGCGGCGGTTATCACTTAACAGGTGAAATCCCAGCTCCACCACCACATTTACCACCTTCTCACATAAAAAAAATATTTTTGGCCATTGTTCTTTATAGTTCCAAGTCAACAGGTGGTTCACCTGATGTTAAATCATTACCGCTAACCGACGCCAATTGAAATTAACAGGGCTTGCAGATGCGTTGATAACCCTTAAAAAAGTGGGCTCCAGTTTTCTGAATTACAAATCTGAAAGCATTATATTTCCACTTCACGCTGGTCTTCTGTGAGGTTGCGTAATTTGTCCAGAACCCTGTCCATTCGTATATTAACAGAGGATGATTTCGCCCTACCGCATTGTTTAAAATAATTTGAGTACTTATTTCATATTGTAGATTAAAAAAAGCAGATTAAAGCTGAGTTTGTCATGCCTTTTTGCACTAATCTTAGTTGCTCGTAAATGTCTCTAAATGATATGCATCTAATACGTATTTAGTTCGTATTATCGTTTGTTTTGAACAGCGTTGGTACCAAAAAAATAACCTAGTACTTTTGCTGATTTTGTTTATGGGAAATGTTGAAAACAGATCGATTTTGATATACATGCTGGGAGTGTTTGGACTAAGTCATATAGTGAGCGTTAACTTAAAATCATGTTAATGTTAGTCATAGATAAAATGACGGGCATTTATACTTTGCCATTGTGACAATATACACAGCCATTCCCCTTCGTTTGTTTGTAAAGATAGCGATAACTTTTTGTAGAAAAAGTTTGTCCACGGTTGCCGATGCTAAAACTTTATGCGTCATATCGATCTTCCCGCTCAAAATACAGCGCATGAATCGAGGCATTTATTTTGTTTCGGGTCAAGTACGTTATGCACGTGCACAAGCAGAATGAAAAAGTTTCCGTCACATTTTATTTATTTCTATTATACGGGGAAATTAATCAATGGAAATATTAATCACTGGAATATACAAATCGGCGTTCTTTTTGTTCCTTTGTCATATGTTTTGGTCCTGAAACGCTGGCATACCGCTGAACGAGGGTGAAACGTAATGCGGGAGACGGCATCAGTACAGACGGAAGGAACGAATATCTTTAACATGTATATTTAGGATTTAAATTGATTGTCCAACGACGAATACGCTACTTTCGTTTTATAGAGCAGGTTATGTAGTTTGCGGTAACACGTGGCGGGTATTTAATATACTTCAGTATGGTATAAGATCGCTTGCGTTATATCGTTTTACATGAATTGCCTCACTCGTAGGTAGTAGAATTATAACAATGCATACCTAATCTACGGAAACCGATCACAATCTGTGCAGCAAACACGTCGCATATATTTCCGTTTGCATTGATTTTTGCATTTCCTTTTGTCCCATCGTGTCTAACGCTTAAACATCTACTGTTTTATGAAAATATGAATGTTATATTATCAAAAGTTAAACAACAAGACATTTATCGGTTCTATCCATCTATCCATTGTTTTATATAACCGGAAGTAAAAGTTCCTATGACTGTTAGTAACTTCAAGCTACTCATAGTCCTATGAACTTCCGTTTTGTAATGTCACTGCAGTCTAAAGTATTGGATTCTTTTAAATTATCTTATTTTGCAATTTTTTTTCGTTATTTAAGCACCCAAGTCGTGGAAGTGAGTACAACGAGTACGTTTTACGGAAATGTGGTACCGCATTGACGGGTTTGTCGACCTTCGGTCTCGATGTTGTTAAAGATATACAATTCTATTGGACGCGTGCAATATTTTTTTTACATCATTCTATTTCCATTTCCAGCGCAAACAGAAACACTAGTAACGACTATATTTTTAGATACAACTACCTATATTTTTATTTCATATTAATTTTTAATCTAAACATGATTCATTGGAATGCAGAAAGGAATAAAATAAAAACAAAGCCGAGGCGAATTATAAACAGTCGACTTAGAACTTTCGTAACGTGTCGTTTAAAAAAGAACGTGTCGACACAATAAGGCGTTCTATTAATTACGAAACTTATATTTCATTATTTCTCGGACACGTGAAATTTCCATATATTTTACCGTACTTGAATACTTTCAAATTCACATTATCTTTTAAAAACATTAAACTGTGTAACCACTTAGAATCTGAATTTTTTTTATACATATTATAAAACTGACCCAAAGAGGTAAGCGGGTTTGCGACATTCTTCGACCGGACCGACCGCCGGGGGTCCCGCCGGATAACACTACACCCACAGCTAGTGTAACAACAAACACAATAGTTCGCCCTCGCCTCCGAGCACGGCGAGACCAACACAACGCGTACACAAGGTACACCCGCGTTCCAGGGCGGTTCTCACCGCCCCCAGCCACCGATTAGCTAAAAACACAATCGACGGCCATCGGGGTCTCGGTCCGCACCGCAACTTCGATGGCCCTTAGATGACATGTCGTAGTTAAACGCACGCATGAGCACATGCGCGGCCCTACCCACAGCGGAGGGCCCAAACCCGTGGGTTCTGGCTAGCCCACCGGTTCTGCGTCAGATGAAGCTTTAATAGTCTCGGGACTGAAAGCAAAAACATCAGTTAATACAAGATACACAAGACATTCTTCGATACAAATCCCTTTTTTATATCTTGCTCATCCACCCGTCGCACACATGCACGTCGGTTGCGGTTCCCCTCTAAAGCGCTCTACCTCCGTGTATCGCTAACCAGGTCGATATTGTAACGTCTAGGGCGAACTCGATCACGGTTCCTGTCTTTACTCTTTCGCACCATATTAAAAAAAAGTAAAGTAACAGCGTATAAATGTCCAATATAAAATTGCTGGGAGGCCTCCTCTGTACAGAGGGTATCAGGGCATTATCCACCACGCGGCCCAACTGCGGATTGGCGGACTTCATATATTTTCGAAATATTTTTTTTTGTTATTATTTCGA